TTTTTGTAATTTTTTAAAATCAGCAAGATCTTTTAAGATCAGCAAGAGAAACAAATTGATTTTTTTACAGTAACGAAATCTCTCATGTATGTATTTTCAATATTTCATAACAACGCTCGATAAATCTGAACACACTCAACCTCTGAAAGGAAGTTGAACTCTCGAGTAAGGTGCAATTCGTTTATTTTGCTGGCCTTTTGAAAGACAGGTAGAAGTAAAATACTGTTCGTTCCTTTTGGTTCTTAGCATATAACAAATAGTTCATACTTAGACGTTCATAGAAATGGTCTGACCACCTCCCTACACAATACTGAGTTAGAGAAAGAGCTCCAAAATTGAGGAACATTTCAAATACACTTTCTGTGGTGGAGTGAAAATAAGATCTTCACGGGAAAGAGAGAGGAGAGGGTGAAAGAGGAGTCGTAGGGGTGAATGGTAAGCGACGGGGGGCCAGCGCCGTGAGCCCGGACCTTGTATTCAAATTCACTCAAGTTCACGCAATTATTGATACGTTGAATATATACGTAGAAAACCATCACCATTTCTTTTCTCAAACAAGTTTTAGAGAACCGTTTCTAAAAATCACGGAAACCGAATCTTTCGGCTAGTGAACTGGTATATGTATAAAGGAAAAGATCCAAGAATCGTTTTCTATGACCACTACTTCAACGCCACGACAGCAGCGACGCTGTTACGAGCGTAGAGGAGTTACTTAAAGAGGGAACGTCATGCAGAGCATTGATGTCCCCTCTTGGCATTGCAAGGATAGTAATGAAGCCACTGACAAATGAGAGGTCTGTCAACGAGCGCCCTGACAAAATGACTGCATGGGCGTAACCTGCAGTTATGTTGACAGCAGTGGCCAAGCAGTAACAGTCAAAGCGTCCTACTTATACGATATGACAATACGCCAATATTATGTCAATACGTCCTACTCGACTAAGTTGCGAATGATGTTTACAGGAGAGCGTCTCTGTCTTTGTTTACACCCGAAACGATAGATACGGAGGTATAAGGGTAATCAACTAAAATTAAAAATGGGACCGTGTCACCCTGTTGCGGGAAAAAAACGCGATTTTGTCGCAAATCTAGTCTTCCCAATTAATATTTAAACTGTGGACATGTCAGCACCTCGTGTTGGAATAAATAAAAATGTACTTTTCTCTGCAAAATTAATAAACATTTTGACCGGATTCCTTCGATGGGCAGTATGTATTCTGTAACATTTACAAAAATCGTTTAATTTAACTTGCTTAGATTCTCAGAATATATATACCAAATAAAATTATTTTTTATGTGAATAAATTATAAATTTTTTATCACCACCTTAATGAAGAAAATTGTAGATTATGACAGAAGTTCTGGTACTAAACCTAACAAATCGCATAAAGTCTGCTTAAAAAAGATAAATATAGAAGAATGCAAAATGTTTCAATTCAACGAAAAAGTAATAAAAATTCGATATCAAAAGAAATAGTTTTTTATTATGTTCTTGTAATAGAATGGTAAAAAGTAAAAAAAAAAAACTTAACGTGACGAAAATAAAATAGTGAGCGCAAATCTTGCGTAATGTGTCTCCGAAGTTAAATTGCACCAGGTGATACCGTACCAGTATCGGAGTCCGATGTTGTAAGAGTTTGCTGGCTGGTGTCTGAGAATATGTCCGTGTCACCAGAGACAGTCATTTTCCGGACCGACACTTATTACAGGCATCAAGCAAAGCATCCCTACCCCAAAATCCTTTTGCTATTTTATTGGTGAGAGTGCTGAGTCTTTTCCAGTTTTCTATTATTTTACCGATTGTTCCTGATGGTATTCTTTTAAATCAGAAAGTTACACTTCATAGATGTTTCTTTCGCTAACCTAAAATTTAATTACATCACAAGCAAGGCGTCGTGCCTCCCCGCGAAGTGCCACACCTCGACGAGAACTCACATTTCCCAAAGCTACATTCATAAACAACTCGCTTCACGCTCCTCGGGACTTTTGTTAGCGAATCTGACCCGTATTTACACTGCTAGTTCCATGTCGCGCCGCAGTCACCTCTTTCATTCTTCGCATGGTGGAGTTATAGTAATCTCCTAATATCGCGGGTGACATCACGGTTTTCATAGCAACCGCCAACGCAAGCCGCAATCTGGTTGAGCAGGTTGAGAGGTATTAGAAGGCGGGCTTCTTCACTTCACCGGCATGGTGGGTGGCGTACGCATGCGGCGCCTTCGCGTGTTTTAACTTCCCTGTCCGCGCGTGTGACATTCAAAAATACACTTACGTTTCTATTAAAACCGTACTTGTAGTAAGTAATAAAAAATGAATTTAAATTATAATTCTTATGTAATTGACATAAGTGCCACTTGTCCTACTTCCCTTGAATAGCCGCCCCTGGCCCAATTTGGTTTATAAATGCATTAAACAAACAGATAATTTCAGGTTTCTTGTAAGTTTGGATAAACAATATTTCATTACAGACAACGAGTTTGTGAAAGAAAGGAATACGCGAATGCTTGGAATTGAAATACGGCGTTAGATTGTCTTGTGGACAGCACTCTACCCCGATATCATGTGTCGCCATGTCAATGTCAGTGGAGTCTTTTGCGCCCAGGTGCTGTGTATTGCGACGAGACAAAAGTTTGTTTCGATGCAACCGTTTAGTAGCAACCGCTAAAGAACATTTACCCAGTGTTCAGCGATTCTGTGTACTTCGGAAGTATTTTTAATTTGATAACATGTGATTTTTCAAGATAGCTTGCCGAAGAGGTTTAAACACAGCGCTGGGTGGGGTGACGATCTCATACTCATTCCAACCCAATAGTAATCCTTGCTGCGAGGAAGACGTCCGAGTCACCTGTATTTGGCAACCGTCGTGACATCCAAGTAAAAAGGGTTGCGTTCGCACAAAACTGACAACATAATTCTGTACCGCATGTAAATCATCATTGTGCGTCTTCCATTGAATCGCCAACCTCTCGTTTTTCATTTTGGGTTTCATCGCGTTATAATACGATATGATGGTCAGAATTAAAGACACTTATACAGTAGGTTCGTGTATGTACATGTATTATCGACAAATTTTGCTCAGCCCTAAACCCCAGCCGTTTTCAAAAAATAAGTAAAGCTCCCTGGAAATCCCACTGACAGATTTTAGCGATAAAAAACTATTTCAAATGAAATAATGAAACTCATAATTTTATGTACAGAAGTATTCATTCAATTACTCCCTCAGGGACGTAGAGATCCTGGCGGACAGAGGTGTAAGGAGCAGCTCTACCTGACTGAAGACGGAACGGACTAGACTTGGTCCAAAGCGCGCAGTGGAAGACGAATTCATTAAAAACTCGTTGAATACCAACAAACGTATACAAACAAGCATTAACGTTGTCTATGCACGACTCTGACCGGAAAGTCGTGGGTTCGAGTCCCCACGATGGTGGATTTTCGGTACAAACAGCGACCAATTAATCTACCAGTTTTCCGTGCTTGTCCACTGGCTACAAGGCGTATTCCAGGGACGTCTCCGAACACATAGCCCGTGGACTGCATGCGATATTTCCTTCCTCTTCCTTGTCCTCTCCTCTTCCCTTACACTGGCATGCTTTATGCCACCATTCAAGTCGGGAAGCCAGTCCGGAGCTTATTGCCCGTTTCGGCTGGGGCAGAGCTCTGCTTGGAAAGATTTTTGGAGGGAGAAATACCCCGTAAGCCGACCTGTAGGTCAGCGCCGAATCCCACTATGAACCGGAGTATGAACATGGCATCCTTCAGGGATAAAAGACTCACTGCACTAATGATCATAGTAATCGGTGTGTCCGGAAAGATCACATAAACTAATACAACACAAGTACAAAATAAACAATTACAATAATACGCAAACGTGTCTTGCAACTTTGCTACATATTACGCGTTTGTAACTTTATTATCAAAGCATAATAACATTTACGAATATCTATGTTAAAGATAATTATGTGAGTTTGAAATCTTAAAACGTAGGGGAAGCGGTGAATCCTTGAATGCACCGGTAACTCACCGTTAATTCCCTTCTCAAGTCTATGGTCTTTATTTGCAATTTATACTGCGTCACTAATGCATCTCCCGCTCTCTCAATAAGCATTACAACAATCTCGGTCTTTTTATCTTCATGTCTTTCAATAATACTATTGCTAGTGTACTTCGACGTTTTGTAGTTTTATTTCCTGGATCCCGATATTTTATGCGTCATCGAGCAGACAGAAATAATGAATGACATCACAGATAAGTCTGCAGCTTTAAAGGACTGGAGGATCGATTTGGAATACGAGAAATAATCTATTTCAGTTACTAAGATAAGCATCTGTAAATTAAAATTTCCCTTCTAGCTCTTCCTCTAACTTCGGAGGAATTACATGTGTGAGAAAAAGTGCTCTGGATATGCTGCAATCTAGAGCGTTTTATACGTAGCTCTTAAGTATTCCGGATCCTACCTGAAAAACACGTTACCATGCCTTAGCAGACGCCATGTGAACGCTATGCTTTGTGTAGTAAGTGAAGATGTTTGGCAAGGTCCTCGAAACACTTCAATTCACATAGGGGGAAGGAAAGAGTTCTGTAGAAAGAACAAAAAATAGCTGTTTTGTTGCAGCATTACGTAACTTTCTCTGTACTGTGTAAGTTGTATGCGATAAAGTAACTAGTGGTTTTACAGAATAGGACAGACATTACCGTTCTAGTTTGTTTCCCATTCATTTGAGTCTGGGCTATCTTTCCGGTTTTGCTCCACCCTCTTCCCAGGTGCCATCTATTGACGCGTAAAGGACCTTCCCGGGTCTCTTGCGGTACCTACTGCTCCTCTGGGGACGTTCCCAGTGAAGAGCTCCTTCGCGATCCCCGAACATTGCATAGGCCTATCTCGACCCCGTTCCTAAATATATTTGCCCATGGTATCCCTTGGCATCGTCAGTGTCTGCACCATTGTTCTGGGTGTATGGATCCAGGTCTGCAATAACCACGCAGTTGCCCTTCAGACCATGGAGATTATGGATAGGTATGGAATGCCCCCAAGCTAGAACAGAAATTGAAACATTTATGTTTTATGCGGGTTTCGAACCCACAGTAAAGGCACACCCTTACTGTAAACGCATTTAGATTCATCTGCCACATTCCTTTCATCACGAGGCCGACTCACTCAGTCGTTTTGTATTTAAACACGTTACGTTTACGTAATATAATTTGCTTTCATCAAACTAATAATAAAACTAAAACTGACTTCCTTATATATACGCGGCGTTTAAGTTGTTTTGTGGAATTCATTCATCTATCTAAATGACTTTGCATAGGACTTAATTGAACATTAAAAAATCTATGAACATCATAAGGAATATTTTTTTCCAAATTAAAAATGTTCTATAATCAGACTTGCAGCACATATCCATTTACAGAATGCTTTCTTTCTTTTTTTTTTTTTTTTTGGAGCCTAATTGTAAGATCGAAATATGGCATTAAGAATATTGTAAAAGAGTAAAACCTGGTTCTTTATTCAAATTTTCATGAAAATTTTGAAGCTGTTTTTGTGAAAATGTGTTATGCGGCTCTGAAAATACGCAGTTTTAACAGAAAACTTTTGAGTTATCGAGAAACTTTGTAATGCAACGGAGCACTCGTAATCCCGCGATGTAATCCCACGTTCAGGTGTCGTTAATACTAAATGAGGTGCGTTGAGCGCGGGCGTTGCCTCCAACGCTCGACGTCCTCGCCGCCGACGCTCTCTCTGGCCAGGCGAGTTGGTTATGCGACTTCTGGGCTGCCCGGGTGACGCCGCGTCGTTGGCAGATAGGCCGACGTTTCGCCTGTCATGTCGCAGGCTTCTTCAGAGCAGTGACGAGAAGTCATGAACTCGAGCCGCGGAAGCGTACGTGTACATACTTGACTATACTCTCTTTCCCCCGAGGCATCCTGTCTAGGAACGCGATTTCTTGGTACTGCACACAAGCGTATGACAATCTGTGACAAGAAATATATTCTTCAATAAAAAAATCAAAGATTTGAACACTGTCACACTGAAGAATAAAAACAAACGCAAAATCGCGTTCGAAAATGATGCTGGACAGAAACGTCACATCCAATTTAATAGATGTTCAAAAACAAAAACAAAAAAAATGACATTTTTTAATTTTACTTCCAAACTTCTGTTTTAATAATATCATTGTTTTGGATACGAGCTAGTGCAGATTGCATAAACCTGGGTCGATACGATCTTCATCTAACGTTCACCAAATTAAGTTTACAAAAGAAACTACGTTATGAGCTCATAATTATTTACAATTGACATTGGTTTTGAACATTTTAATTAATGATGTTGACAATAGAATTACGCACAAAACAAGTTTTAAAAATCAACTACTATTAGAAACAATCATTAAAAATTGCCTTTCACTTTACTGTTTATCAATTCTTTAAATATTTAATTAATTCGGCCCTTTAGTTTGTTTTCGGCTCAATTCTGATACTAATAAATTAATTATACAATGTTTATCACTCCTGCTTTCGTCCACACGGGCACTACTCCCGCTTCTGCAACATGGTTGGGTGAATGGAGTTTGCAGATTCCGCCTTCCTGGCATAGTTCCCCCAAGAACCCGACGCTGGCGGCCGACCCTTCCTGTCGGTGACCTCCCCTCGCAGCCAGGCGCACAGGGCTCGGTGTTGCTGCGTCGACTCGCTGGCTGGTAGTGCCTTTTCGGGGACGCCCGCGACCACGGTGTTGAACCTTCCTCCAAACTCCAAACGTGATGCCTGGCGGCTTCAGCTCCAAACGAGCCGGTCCGGATGGCCGAGATCGCTAAGGCAGCAGTGCCGTAGCGCTCTCGGACCGAAGGATCGCGGGTTAGAGTCCTGCCGCGGGCATGGTTGTATTGTGTTCGTCCTTTCACCCCCTAACATCATCCTCATAGTTACCATACCGTTACACGCAATACTGGTCGCTAATGACCTAGTAGCTAATGCCTAACCTATCGTTATTATATCCGAGCCCCCTTTATCAAGAAGTGTTAATATCTTAAATAATAAAAATATCCTTTAACGATATCCATAAAAGTATTCATCAGTCTATGATTAATAACCAGTCGTGAAAAAATCTGCCTTTATTATTTAATTTTATGAAATTAAGACTTCTATAAAACCTAAATGAATTGATAATCTTTATTGACTATAAACGGAGTTAAATAAGCTACCTAAGCGGAAAATAATCGTTCTTCTGGAATTATTTCTGGAAGATGTTTTTAATATTTTATTGTAACAACTATCACAAAGTATCAGAGAAAGTATCACGTAATTAATATTTCTTATGATCACAAAACCTTCAGCCTAAAACTAGGTCATCTTTTACCGGGTCCCGCCCGCATTGCGGGCCCGAACGTTACGCCACTGAGAATTATGCCTAGGGAACGTATTCTGATGTCCTGAAACATTCCAAACATGATCAATAAAATGCTTTAAAATGCCCTAAAAACAAACAAAAGTTACGTAAAAAATGGATCAAAAACACTTCAGTTGGAACTCAAGCGGTTGGAAATGTTGCTGATGTAATCGAGGCTTCTTTCTCTTGTTCAAGTGAACTAAGCTTGCAAACTTTTGGTTTAGATTATTCTTTAAAAGAACGTCTCTGCCTTTATTTATCCCAAAATCGACCGAACTGCCAAAGTCGCCTATAGGGGTCACAGAAACCTTAGATTACACATAATACAACGGCTGACAGCGAAGAAATCGAATAGGCTACTAAGGAATTATGTGGTGAACATTTGTTGCATCTGGTAAGTATTGTTTGGTGCAAGTACCATTAAAACGATATTAAAATCGATTAAAAATAACGTAAAAAGGTAAAAAATAATTAGTCGAAGTCGACGAAAAATGGTAAAGAAAATTACACATAATGGGTAATTTCGTTTTGTCCACACATAAAATGAATTTCTTTACTAAACGGCATTGTCCTAAAGTGAAAAGAAGAAAATGACATTTCATTAAAATCCGCCCCCTAGCAACGAGCGCAGCGCTGAGCGAGTGTGCTGTGTGCGCAGGGCTGTGCGGGTGGTGGCTGTCGCGTCGCAGCGGCGGCTCTGGCGGCGCGGGTTCCGCCGACCCCGGTCCGGGCCCCGGCCCCGGCGCGGGCGCGGGCGCGGGCCCAGCAGCCGGAGCGGGCGCCGAGGAGGCCGGCGCTGGCGGCGACGCGGCGGTGCGGCGCGCCATTCTGCACGCAGCGCTGCCCTTCGTGCAGCAGCACGGGTTAGTCCACTTACAGCAGTGTGGTTGCGAGAATTGGTTCCTATCTGTTCTTTGGGTCGCTGAACCCAAATATTTGGTTTACTGACTTTTTCATTTTCTTTTTCTTTCAAAATAACTCGACAACAATACAATTTTGTAAATGATGATGGTATATGAATAGTAATATACCGTCATCATTTAATCAAGAAATATACCGTCAATAAATAAAGATAATAAAAAACTATACATTTAAAAGGTTGATGAAAGGCTTATTCTCTAAACCAATCGTTTAGCTCCGAGAGACCCGCGTAAGTTGGTTTAGGGTTCGTTGATGGAAAAAATGCTTTGAACCGGAAATTTTCGCACATTATTGCATTATAAGTAAAAAGTCCGAAGTGTTGACTTTATATGAACTAAAAGATGATAAAACTGCGTGCATGATATATATTCGACGTGTTCTGACAATTTTTGAAAAAACATATTTGTTGGCGATATGTGCTCTCCATTTGTTTGTTGCCGGTTTTTGGAAACCAAGGTGTGAAGAGCCTCCCAAAGCGTTCCGCTCTTGACGCAGGTGGTCGCGCGACGCGCTGAGCCGCGGCGCCGAGGCCGCGGGCTTCCCGGGCGTGGCGCACGGCCTGTTCCCGGGCGGCGGCGCCGACCTCGTGCGCTTCTTCTACACGGCGTGCAACGAGCGCCTGGCCGAGCAGCTGCGCGCGCGCGCGCCGCCGCCGGCCGACCGCCGCGCGCTCTTCGTGCAGGAGGCCGTGGAGGCGCGCCTGCGCATGCTGCTGCCCTACCTGGACCGGTGGCCCCAGGCGCTGGCCATCATGACGCTGCCGCCCAACATCCCGCCCGCGCTCGCCAACCTGCTCACGCTGGTGGACGACATCTGCTACTACGCCGGGGACCGATCCGTCGATGTAAGAAAGCGACACCCCGGCGGAGTATAGCTAGCGTGTGGGAGAACCCGGTGCACAAAGTTAAGGTCTGTGTCACACGACCGTCGCGTTGACGCGCGGCGTTGATTAACACAGTATCTTATACGGAGTGGCCAAAACGCTCATATGTCGTTTCGCACGAGATTCATTGTTATTCTACGACGCGCCTTAACGCACGTTACTGGGGTCGTGTGCAGGGCTTCTTAAATGGGGGTACCAACCGCGATTGCTAAATGTGAAACCAGGAGTTTTAGATCTAATTTATGGAGATATGCATTTTACCATTCATTAGATTTAACCCACGAAGAAACCATTATTCATTTTATGTCATCGAGTTTCTCGTTCCTGGGTACAATTCTAGAAATTAATAGGCTATGTAAAATTTTCGTCCGTAAACTTAACGAGGTAGAACAGATCACAGTATGGAACAAAGCAAGTTGTTCGTATATTCGTTCTGCACTTTTACTAGTCCTACGTTGCATAGTTCACAAACGAAAAATTCGCGAATTCTTCAGAAAGCAGGTCCTGGTTGCTCGGTACTTGCCAAACGGTACTTGTTCCACGTCCGCTCGGTGGTCGAGGCCGCTAAGGCACAAGTGCAGTAGTGAGCTCGGTTCGTCGGGTCGTGGGTTAGAGTCCTACGAAGGCAAGTGATGCGTATTGTGATGGTCGCCTTTTCACCAATACAATATTCTTTCATTCCCCGTCCCTCCGGGTGGCGCAGGTCTATAAGCATTCGTGTGAGGCATGTACACGTTGAACTCGAAGAGCCGTTCCTGATTCTTCTTGTTTTGTGGTGTGACCCAACAAGACAATCCTTCCCCTCCAGACAGTTAGCGGACACAAATACGAATGTAGAATGGATAATGCACAGGAAGGGAGACGGCCCATTGTTCCGGGAACCCGCAAACCAGGGAGGCTTACGAGATGTCGGAGGGCAGGGCACTGTAGTCTCGGATAGGGTAGGCTGAACTGTCCTGATCGAAAGATCCATACAACCACAATCGGTTATACTACCTAGGGCGCAGACCTACAAAACAGCGGAAGCGCTGAGAATGCTTCCTCTTTCAACCACTGTCCCTTTAATATATTTGTTTATTGTTGGCGCTCAATTTTTTTCCGAATCTGCCCCTCACTTTCAATTTTGAAACTGTATACTTTTTATAATGCAAATATTTTTCTGAATACAATATCTTCAAATCATTTCATGTAACCTTTTTCAAAACAAATTAGTTTTTCCATAATTTTGAGTTATATTGTTTTTGAGTTTTGTCAGAAGTATTAGTATGATAGAATGTTCATAATAATAGTAGTAGTAGTAATAGTAATAATAATAATAATAATAATAATAATAATAATAATAATAATAATAATAATAATAATAAAGATTAAAAAGATAACCTTTTCTAAAATGTAAGAATATATTTGCTCATATAGCCCCATTAGTTTTAATATATTTAGTGTCAAAAATAATATGTGATATACATGGGAGTTTTGGTATCTGTGTGGGTTTGCATGAGCTCCGGAATCCTTACCCCTTCTCTTTTAGTGTATTTCTATCTCAACTTTTTTTTTTACTATAGGCCTCACGTACTTCTCTTTTATTCAACTACTGCTCAAGGCAAATGTCACAAACTTCATAGAGGGTAGAAGTCAAAGTTACTCTCTTTTTCCAATGAACTCGTGGGAAATCTCATATAACAAAGTTACAAATGTGACATTTGCTCCTAATTGCTAGGGAACTCATTATGCACTAGTGTTTTGCAGATTCAATCATTTCCTCTGTCTTCATCAGAATGTAGTTCAATGTGAGTAGTACAGGAAAAGAAATAGTAGAGATAAAAATACAGTAAAATAAATGGGAGTAGGGATTTGGAGCTTCAGTAAATATGTACAGTTTATGAAACTTTCCCCTTTACATCAGGCATGGATCTACAGAGAGGGAAATTAGGGAAATCATGTTGGTGTACCTGGAACAATGTAGGGAAAGTGAAAAAAACTACAACTGAATAAACGTATGTTCTTTATTCATGAAGAGAATATCACAATAACGTTTGTTTAACAAAAGGGACTCTAACCTAGATTACAATAAATAAATATTGTGCACAAGAAGTAATAAATTTTTGCTGCCCTTACGGGCCTTTTTTTTTTTAAGAACAACCAATTATTTCTGGAGCTCATGTTCTGTAGTCTGTCACCTTCATAGGATATAACAACGGCATTTATTAAACAGAAAGGATCACAATGTAGATTATAAACTGTAAAGGAAATATGGAAAAAATATTGCCTTTGAGAACAACCAAACACAGATGGATCAGGGAGCTTAACTTTCAAGTCCTTCATGTCATCTTCATATGTTGCTGAACCTTCCAATTTTGTATGAATGAATCATTATTAAAATACCTCACAATAAAGTTTTCAGATTTGTCCTTTTCTTTAACTGAAATATTGCTAAACAATAAATTGGCCTTACAATCTTTAACAACAAACAAAACTGCCCTATTAATTGTTTCTGCAAGTGATTGAGGCCTTTTGTTGTTTCCTTTGCTTTGTGGAAAAGCCAGATTACATCATTAAATGGATTTAATTCAACTTAATGCTACATTTATGTACCTAGAGACGTCCCTAGGTAGATCACTGTCCCAAGGTACAACAATCAGCAATTATGAATGAACATGGCAACTGTTAATTGTAAGTTACCTGTAGGAAAGAAGTATACAGCTTGAATTAACTACATTCTATGCTAGTAAGTGTATGCCTACTTCAGTTTTTGAAAAATAGTAGTAGTTACAACAAAATCAATGAAAGAAAAATGCAGAAATTTTTACTTTGCTCTCGTCAAATCTATTAAACTCAAGTAAAATCACAGAAACAGCTCACACTATAAAGTCGTTTACACGAATGGCAATAACAAAGTAGAGAAAAAACTAACAATTCAAAATTTCTCTCACAGACGTCTCGAAAACTTGCTTTGTCCCCAGGTACAATAGTTTCCCCTACTAGTTGAATTTCAACCACAGAAAGAAATACACATTTTTTTGAAAGGATTGTTAACAAAATATTCCCGCCAATGTAATAAAATCAATTTTCAATGGTAAATCAGCTATAAATTTTGGCTCTTATCCCTCTTCATGTCCTTTGGGAAGAAATAATACTTCCTGCCATGACATGTAGAATGATAATTTGAATAACTATATTTCCCATTGAATTCTAATAGACATGCACAGGTAAAGACGCTACATTTGGCCAGAACAGGGACCATCTCAGTACTTGCTCAAAGGATCGGGAAAACTGGATGAAAAACCTGATCGAGATGGGGGTCATTGACACAGAAATTATAGCACAATACTTGTTCCAGGTTGTTTAGAATTATACAGTCGAAATGGTAAATACTACATTAAATATCTTTGTTAAAATTAATGTTATTTTCCTTTTGATACTTGGTATAGGCTAATTATCTATAGAAACAGTTAAGCAGGAGAAAAGATTTTACTTGGGACTTAAACTTTTCTATTGAATTTAATTGTTGTAAAATAGTGTACATGTATTGTAGGTGAATTTTTTATAGTGAGCTGTTGGCACTGTCTCTTGATAAATATGATTACTATGTTGAGGGTTATAAATATAGACATTGGCGTTTGCTAAAAATATATTCCCACCCTTAAATAAGTCATTTTTGACAAAAACTACTGATTTATAAATCAAGAGACGAGGTAATGGTAAAATTCCTAGATTAATCAATAGAGGCTTACAAAAATAATGTGGGCGGTTATTACAGAACCAATTTGAAACATCTGATATTGTTCTATTTACAGTTTCTGTATTGCAAAGAATATTCGTATCATTTGCAAAGAGAACTGTTCTTCCATTTTGAATCATCAAGGGCATATCGTTTATGCATAGTAGGAAGATAATAAGGGCCTAAAATCAATCCCTGCGATACAACACGTGCTATTGGCAAAGGTGTACGTAATGATCCATCATTCCTGTAAGGTATTTTTACTCTCTGAGATCGTTGTTTAAGATACAAACATAACCATTCTAGAGCAATACCACGGTTTCCATATGAAGGTAATTTTGAAAGTTAAATGTTATGATCAATAGGCATCAAAAGCTTTTGAAATATTTAAAAATATTCCAATAGGTGCTTCGTTTTGATCCAATGGCTTTCCCTAGATTTTGATTATCGAAATCCATGTTGGCAATCTGAAAACACGTCATGTTGACTGAGAAAGGTTTCCATTCACATGTAAAAAAGTACCTAATATTTTTGAAAAGTAGTGGTGCTAAAACAGCATGTAGTTTCTCGTCCTTATTTTCGCGCAAAATTACCAGACAAGTACTCAAATTTTCGAAAAATTGTACATGACCTTATTTAAAAATTTATCTTTAAAGAACAGATTTCATCGAAGGAAAAGATCTTTATTTTTAATATTTGAGTTGTAGGGTGACTCCGAAAAAGAATTGAACTTTTGCAATTTTCGAAAACTCAGGGTTCTCAATGAACATGCGACCTGCTCCATTCTCGTAAAGGTCCTTTACGCTTCCCAATAACAAAATTTAATAAAAAACGATTGAGCTTTTCTTTTTTTAATTTTCCTGGTTTGTCATGTAAAGTACCCCCAAAAATTAAAATATTGGTTTCAAATTCAAGGGGCTGCCACATCAGACATATGGATTGGGAAATAACCATTTTGGATAAAACCAGCTGAACGCTTTAGCCGCTAGTGTTGTTCACGGACAAACTGACGTTTTGCTGTCAATCGGTTTATAGGTTAAAATTTTCGAAAATTCACAAAAAAAAAGATTTTTTTTTTCCGGCGTTTTCTTTCAATTATAATATTGAAGATGGAGATTTTCCTTCAAATGAAAATTGTTTTCCATAATTAGTTCTTTCATTACAGTCATGTACATTTTTTTGAAAATTTTAATAGTTTTCGCACAAATGTGCCATTTTAAAAGATTACAAAAACGGCTCCTTTCTTACATTTTTTTATTTTTAAACTTTTGATAGAGATAATGCGAAGTGCATTCCGCCATATTGCACTATTCTTTTTTTGTTTTCAAAAATGACAAAAATTTACTTTTACTTGTCTCCCACGTCGTTGATATTTATATTAGCGGCAATTTGTTCACATTATTGTATTTATAAGTGAATGTGTTTTAAATAATGTCATATAAAGTTTCTTGAAAACTCAAACATTTTCTGTGAAAACTAGCTCAAAATTCTGCATTTTCAGAAACGCTCAAACGCTATTTTTGTCAAAAACTGCTCCAAATTTTTTGAATGGATAGTGCCAATTGCACTGTTCAATATGACAAAGTTGATTCTGAGAAATTTTTTGTTTTTTTCAAAAATTGCACAAATGTAATATTTTTGAAACATCTCTCACGTGGTTACTACACACATTTCCAGCAATTTGTGAGCTAGTGTACTTCAAATTAGTCTAATGAAGCTTTTTGAAAACTCAAAAATTTTCTGTGAAAATGAGGTTCAAATTTTCGAATTTACTGTAGCTTTTATGTGTCATTTTCTTTAAAGCGACTCCAAATTTTTCAAAGGAAATTGCCATTTAGGATAAGGCTTTTACCGTTCTTTAACATTCTTAAACTAATATTTCCATTCTATTAGGAAACCAAAAGATTAAGAAAATTTCAAAAAAAAAAATGTTCTTTAGGCGGTAATAGATGGCAGCTGGCAAGAGTATTTGGTAAGTTCTTAAAGCTAGCCGAGACCAAAGGAAATAGAAAACTAATATGGGAAAGTCTGTGCCAATCGCTTCACCACTGTATTAAATTTATATGGAATGTCCTCCTTTTTGTTCTGTTGATTTGAAAATAATACTGGCACAATTTTAAACTAATTTAATTCATTAAAGGGACTTCAAGACTTGAATATGTACATTTTTACTCAAATACATGGTCTGTATAATAGATCGTAAGGCTTATTGTGATATTAAAAGTATTTATGCTTATTGTTTGGTGAATAATGGTGAGTGCCCAGGGCTGTTATCCAATCGGAAACTTTTCCATTTAATGACCCAAAGTCTAATATGCTTTTTAAAGACTATTAATAGTTAAGAATTGTTGAGTACATTGTCTACACATCGTGGAGTATAAAAACGTAAAATGCCCTCTATAGGGAAAATATTTTATCTCTACTCCACAGCAAGAAAGTAAAAACGACAAAAGAAAAATTGGCTGATAATTTTTAATTATATTTTTGTTGCCTTTTTTGAAGAGCAGTTCAATCTGAGCAGTTTTGAAATTATCTGGATAAGTTCTGATACATACTGGTGCATTAAATATGTGAGTTAACAGGTGTATAATGGCAGGCGCACAAATCTTTTAACAATCCGGAAATTCATCTAAACCGGCCGAATATTATTTTTTTTATTTTACCGATTATTCATCCAGGCTATCTTGTCTGATCCCACATTTCACATTTCAAAGGGGTAAACATTCTATCACCTTACTGTAGTCACTTCAGGATGATTGAACATGGCATTGAAATCTCCACTCTGTTTGCATCCAAATTTACTAGGCTTCACTTCATGCCATGCATGTGTGATTCCAATATGCGAAAAATATGCATTGCCTCAAATTATCAAACTTTATAATAACTCCAGAAATCTGATAATCTGTGCTCATACGATGTGATCTAAACTCAGTGTCAAGAAAAGATTGTTAAAAATTTTATTGTTTAGAGTTAGGATGTATTGTTTCATTTATTTTCCATTTCTTGGCATAAATATAAGAAATTGTTGTCCAAATGTACATTTGGTTTACAATTTTCTTAATTAAATTAAGTACGCATTTGTAAATCATGACCACAACATTTTTAGAGTGCATATTTTGGATTTTTTAAGCCTAACATCTGGTCTCTTGATACTTCTTTTGAACATTTATCTGGTACAATTTCAATTCAAAATTAAAATAAACACAATAGATACCTTAAGATGATGTGTGAAATAAATATTACCTACTTTAAAATATTTCATAAATTTTTTTCCAGTCATTTTATTTGTTGAAGTTATTGATGTCCTTTGCTGTTAGTCATGGTGGTTTGGTGTGATTCAACTTTGTTATTTACAAAAATATTATGCTTATCCAGTTACAGTCGAAACCTGCATTTGAATTTAATTTTTTAACCTTAATACTAGTATATATTCCTGTAAATGTACATTGTCTCATAAAATACCAATTGATTTACAATAATGCTTTGGAAAGAAACCTTCTACAATAACGTATTTTAAAATAATGAGTTTGCACGCTGACTTTTTTTTGCTGTACTTAATTCAGGAACATGAAAATCACATATCTTGTCCCCCATTTTCCATTATCCCAGTTCTATACGAGGGTTATCTGCTCTGAATAATACCATGGGGGTCAGAGAGATCGCCAACCACCTTATGCCTACTTGTGCTTACATTTTCCCCTACGAATATGTATTATTCTAACTACTTTTCTGATTTGTTTTGTACAGTTTAGCTGGTACACACATCGAGTGACTGTAGCAGGAATATACAAAGCCACAGAACTTTACCTTATCCAAGATAAGTCTGATGATTATCAAGCCACATGGAATTTTCTTGCCAGGTGCATTGAAGATACTGCTGCAATGCAAAGATATCTACAACAATCCAAAGGAACTACACAAATGGCCCAAGAGACTATTACAGCTGCTTTTGTAACGGTGGGTATATTTGTATTAATTAACTTTTCTTTTATATTCACTTTGCTTATAATTTGCAATAAAATAATTTACTTATTGAAATGAGTTGCAAAAAATTGTTGTTTAAAATGAGTTGTACTAAATGAACTCATTTGTGATATTGCTACTTGTCATTTCTTGTGTCACCGTTTTTGATCACCAGTATTTCTTTTATAGGCTCGAAACATCCTAGGTCTCAATTCTGGGAACAGATAGTAGAAGGCCCCTCAAGTAGTATCAGATGTTTCAAGTCTGTGATTATGCACCAAGCGTGTGTATAGATGTTTATGAGCTCTAGATCTGTGCAAACATCTGGAGTTCATGTTATTTATGAAACAATACCATAAGATACCAAAAAACAAGAATCCTTATTATACATTTATTGTTACAAAATTTAATAAAGTATTTTTTTCTTCATTGCGAATTTTTCTTACGATGATGATAATGAAAATGGTGGTGGTTCTATATGAAAATGCAAATAATTCTTCGTTGATAAAGAAACATAGAAGAAATAGGAGACTACCAGAAAACTTTTGGACAATGCATGTCCACCCACACCTACCCACCTGTACACAGTGGTTTCTTGTTTAATGTTTTGTGGTTTATCAGCGTCCATGGAGCAAAATTATCGCTTTCGTGGTGGGGTTTTTAAAAGTCTTCAACTGGTAAAGGTATGTTGAACATTCAAATGCAAATTAGTAGCCTGCAGCAGCATTTTTACATATCAAAAAAAGTTGCTCTTCCATAATGCAACACGTGAATAGGAAACTAAACTCAGTCTCTTCCATGAACCCTTGCTGTCGCATTCCAGGTTGGTCGTAAGCTATGATGCATTGAGTATAAGAATAAGCTAAATATCAGAATCAAATATTTGCATTTTGTAATAAAAATTGAAATTGTTTCACTCATTTTGAATTTTTCCTGAGTTCCTGGGAATCAGTCTGTAAATTATGTACCACAAATTCGGAATATTTTGAATATACTCTCTTCCCCCTGTAATGCTCGCTTGAATGCCCTAAATAATTATGTAACACTTGGGAATGCACCCCACCCTTTACAAAAAGTAAAAATAAATTCTATAACAATTAAAACAATTTTTATTAATTTTGTTGTGTTATATTTTAAAATCAATTGTAATTAGTCAGAATGAACTGACGATGCTCACTGCACCAAACAATAAGTTTGGGGGGCAATTTTTACATGAAGGAAGCATTGGCGAAAAAGTTTTAGACTAGTGTTGTGAATAACACATGGGCAAGAATTTACTGTGTCAATTTAATTGTGTTCTAGAAAATATTGTAGGTTGGTTTTGAATATTTTCTTCATAATCTACAATTCAATCAATATACCATTGGTGAAAATACATTTTCAATTATTGTCAACATTTATATACCATCGCCCTTTAATTTATTTACATTTTTGAAATTTAATGTTAATGTTTTAGATCAAGACTGAATAAAAGGAATTATTTCAGCATGTGCTGAAAAAAACAAAACAATATCAGCATAATGTAACACTACATCACCATGTAATGCAGCATAACGCTTCCTCACCCCCCTCCCCTCTTTAGCGTTACATAATTTATGGATGATCCCTTAGCGAACCCATGGACATTTCTCACTAGGTCCAGAAGCTGCATAGTTTTCTTGCAATTTCTACATGATTTGGAAATTTGCAATATAGATTGTTTTGAATTTTCCCGAAGTTCCTGGGTATCTTACGAAACAATATATGCCTCTCAACAGCACAGAAGTGGCATAGTTCTCTTTAAGACAGACATTAAGAGGGAGGAGGGTACCTTCGTGTTGTAATCAACAAGAAGACAATTGATACATTAAATTCATTGTTAACAGATTGTTTCAAAAATAATAATATGAGATAACAAAAATTACAATGAACTTGATTCCAAATAAAACTATATTCAATGAGTAAAATTACAAATAAAAATCATATCAGAACTGTTTTCTTGATTCTCAGTTGAGGAGAAAAGCCAACTAGTGATTTCACTAAGGTTGTCATGTTTCCATGAATTTGATTATCTTTAATTAATATTTGGACACGATCAATCGAAATTGTTCCAAATAATTGTCTTATGGAATTATGTATTGAGCATTACAACTTAATATTAGTCACTCATCATGTTTCAATAACTGTATTACAATTATTGTATTTTAGAATTTTTGCTTCAATATTAGTGGCTTTGCAGAGCTATCAAGTAGAAAATACATGAATTGACAACACTGGAGAGATTATGACAAATGATCATTAACCAGGAGGTAAAATGATTATTTTATTAGATAAATCTCATAGTTACTATAAACCAACTTTTTCAATTATTGCAATTAATCGCGAACTTAACAGTTTAAATGCATCATTCAATAACTCATTTTCAAGTATGTATTTTATTTCCAAACTCATCTCGTAAAGTAAGCATTTATAGGGACTGAAAGATTTTAATCACTTATTGAGGATTTTGGGTATGCTAATTTTCAAATTAGTTAAAGTTGATTTAATTGTAATTGAAAGTATTGTGAATTTTTTGGCTTTATCAAATGAAGTATTTCTCTCATTCTCACTATTTTGAGTTGCATTTGCAATTTCATTACATTTCCTTCAATTACATACTTTCAAATGATCTATTTACTTGACCTACAAAAAACTTTATAACAAAATACTTGTCACAATTTGGATAAGGGCATTTCTCTATACAGAATTTATTTGCTAAGGACCAAGAAGTTATCAAAACAACGTAAGGACAGAAAAACTAGATTTCACTCCCTTCTCACCTTTAGTTCCTTCACTGATTAAGTACTTGACCTTTTTTAAAAAAGAAAAATGCATCCCAACAACTCTGAATTGAAAATATATCAATGTTGACTTAATGTTTTTTTCTCGATTACAGCACAAATACATAGTTTGCTCCACAAACTTATGTGGCTATATTTGATCGAAATAGCTCTGCGATTACTTAACATTGATGCAGTAGGTCAATGTGTCTTTTTGCAACTTACTGAGAATTAAATCTTAACATTATTTCCTCACTAACAAAGTATATTAAATACTTTTACAAGTGTATTTTGTAATCTGTCCATAATATTGGTGTTTTTTAGAGCTATCTACAGGAAAATACATGAAAATATCCAAAAGCAACATAAATTTCCACTGATGTACATCAACCTGAGGAGATAAATTTTGATATTTTACTTTCACAATTTTAGTTTTAAAAATTATGCAACACTTAGTTCAAGCATTCCTTAGCACATTAATTCAGGATTTTTTATGCTGGCGCAATGCTGTCTTTATTCACCTTCAAATTTAATTAGATATTAAGTCAAAAATGCAAACAGCAAACTGTGGGTAATTTTTATTAATGAGCCAACAATAAAGAAATGACGCATACTTGGGCAATAAATTAACCTTTTACGATTAGACAATATTGTATGATGTGTTGAGACAAGAAAAGAAATAGGGAACGGGAAAATACAAAGTAAGAAAGTTATAATCAATAGAATTCAAGTCAATTTATAAATTGTTCCATATAATTCTATAGTCACACTGAACAATACCAAGCTCGGTTTATTAAATTCATATGAAATTACTAAATTGGCATTTGCCTACATTTAATTTCAGTACAATTTGGTGGTTCTCAGAATTAGCGAGCATTTTAAATTTCTACTAGCTCAGCAGCAATAGAGATATATATTCAAAACCGCCATTTTGTGCTTTACTAGTCTGCAAGTACGCTAGTATTTTAAACATGAAACTGGACAGAAGAGTAGATTTTGTCAATACAAAAATATCAACAGATAATTTACAAATGTTTAAATCAGACTTCATTATACAATATATTCTGAAACACATGTTACAAAGAATATACATATTCAGATTCGCACAGTAAATGCACTTCACCACAAGAACAATCAGAATTAAGACTGAGAATCATTGTTCTGTATTGCCATCATCCACATTTTTAAAGTACTTGCATTAAGGAACTACACAGAATACAAAATATCACATCCCACATTCAGATCTGACAACCCATATAAAACAAAAGTATATACTTGTCTAATTATTATATGCTTACCAGCCATGAGAAAACAGGAATGAAAACAATGTAAATGAACTACAACATTTTTAAAAATTTACAAACTTAATTGACTTAGATTTTTTTCTTAAGAATTCTTCCAACAAAGGTCAATCAACAATTTTCAATATAACTTCATTTATTATGAAACAGTGAAAGAATTATAGAACTTCTAATTATTTTTTTGCACATAATTATATAACATTATAAACACAACCAACACTTAATAATATTCTTCAAGTTTTCCAGGGACATATTAAAAAATTAAGTTTCCTCTTCAACATATTTTATAATACAATTGCACATGCCTTACTTAAAATGGGAACAACTAAAAATTCAATTCATTCCAAAGCACTCCTTTCAAACAAAAGTTACATATTATGTAAGTGACACCCGAACACATTAATAGTGACCTTCTTGTAAATAACCTTTCAGTTTAGAAGGCAAAGGTAACTTCTGTATATTATCCACTCTAGTGTATTGTCTAATGACAAACCTGCACAAATATTGTAATGACCGCACTTGTGTAAATCGTGAAATAGGCTTGGCCAATCGAACAGGGAAAGCTGGATGTCCTGGTGCTCTTGGTCGCGAATAGCAGAACACTGCTGTCTCAGAGTATGACATGGAGTGGTTTATAAGTTCAATTATACTAGCAAACCCATCATGACCAGGATTGGAATAGAAACTGAACATACCATGACTATGCTCTATTCGTGTATGGAACGTTTTGCCTGAGCTTCGGAAACTGACGCTGAGCAAGTATCGATCGGCTGAAGAATCACGAACCAAAAATGTTCCATCTGGAAGGTTTAACAGTTTTTCTTCTGCTTCTTCACGAGAAATTGGGCCCCAATACCATCCATATTTAGCCAATTTGAAGAGTTCACAAGTTAAGCTGCGTGCTGGACTCTGCAGCTGCTGTCCACATACATCTGTGGAGTACTGGTCATGACATAATTGATACAATGTGTCCTCAGTATCAGAATTCAAGGCATGACACAGAGAATCACTTTTATCACAATTTGCACACCGTGAACTATTAGAATCACTCTGTAAATTTCCTATGTTAATAGTGCCCCGCGATGAACAATTTGTTTCTAAGCGTTCTGAAATTGAATTATTCATATGGCAATTATCATTGACTTGAGGATCCAAATCACTCTCATTTTTCAATGGGCTATTAACTGAGCATCTATCATTTCTAATAAATCGTATTGGTGGTGGAGATATCCTGGCACACAAAGATACTCTTGCTCTACTTTCCTTCCCCTTTTTCTTATTTGCTGTAAATCCTTCGGGGGTTGCATCTTCTGACAGCGAGTGGGAAAAGGAGCTGCAGGAGTCAAGAACTTTAATGGATTGTTTGGATTTACACCTCAAAGGTCTTGCACCAAAACTGCTAGTCTTCTGTTGAAATCGCAACTTCAGACTTTTGAATATACTAGGAGTGCGAGTGTCTTTTGCTAAACCACAGTCACACCCAGCACAGTCTTGCTCGACTGACGTATCGGACTCTCTACTCTTTATCACATTATCAGAAGATTCGCCATTTGCATCGGAAGTGAACTTGCAACAACAAGTCCGCTGACGTGCTCCCTTTTTCTTAGAATTTCTTTTCACCAATGATTCTTTCAAATAGCTCAAACTCATTTTACGTATCCTTTTAGATTCCTCCACACTTCTCGGGCTCACTGCCATGATTACAAGAATAGTACTCGATGGATCATTCAACACGCACCGATTCACAGCAAAACAATTTCGTTTCCATCAGTCACTTCAAGTTTTTTGTCATATATCACGTCAACATCATTTTATTCATTCCATGATTTCTTTTATTACATCAACATTATTACCTTCACGCATCAATGAAGTATACATTACACCCAACTCATCAATCCATCACCACTCAGCATCTGCACAAGTACCATCATTTGTCGTCTCACTCAATCTCAACAACGAACGATCACGACTCCAGCAAGGATGACGATTCTGAGTCAGACGGATTCCAAATGGGTCAGTCGTTCTCTCCGTCGTCGATGGATATTCGACTCTTCACAGACCACCAAATAAACAAAAGATGGAAGGCGCCACTTTTAAAGTAATTTTCATTAAATTGCTTTTCTTTTGAACTGTTCCGCTAATGGAAGTTGTTCTCATTTATTGAAGCAAAATGAACTGCTATGGCTAGCATTCTTGGTACATCTTGTCGGCTTGCATCAAATAGTCAAATATTCAAATCATTTTCTAAGTGGTGGTTGTTGATTTTTTATTATTTTTTATTTACTTTCTTTCTTTCTTTGGATAATTAAATTCCCATACAAATTCAACATTCCCACTGCATGTCATTGTCAAATTTGTCCTTGGCTGTTTTTAACATACATTCCAAAATGTTATTGTAAATTTTGTATTTATCTCTAAATACACTCTTTAATTCATTAAATAAATTTAATTTGCACTCATGGAATAAATTAAGTCTTAGAATTAAAAGTGGTCTGTACAATTAGAATTAAAGAGTAAAAGAAGTTTAAGACAACTACAAAAATTGTTTAAGTCATGATTAAAAAAATCAATTATATCAACCTAGTAATTGACTGTTCTAGATAGTCTATTAAAGTTATCCTATTTGCAGTAGTTAGTAGAAGTTGCCTCCACCCAGAAGCAGGTAGGATTTCTCTTTCACAACTCAGGGATGTGAAAAGAGATAAGAGAAAGAAGTTCAGGGCAATCAATGAGACCAAAATGGAAGAAAATTAAATCATAGATTTTTTTTCCTATCCCAAAGAGTTTCCAATTTAAATAAATTGTAGAATTTGGAAAGGTCATGATCAAATCTATGAATTGGTGTCCCATTTCTGAAAGGTAGGTGGTGTAGAAATTTATATTGTACTTTATTCAAATGAGTGATAAATAAGTTAGTGTAAGGTGACCAAATGATAGAGGTAAAATAGGATAAATGAAAGTTTAATAAAGAATTAATAAATTGTCAATGGACCAGAAGGATTTGGTGTTGTACAACATCAGACCCAGGGAGTGCAGAGCTTTATTCACTGTAACAGTAATATGTATATTAAAATCGAGTTTTAGAGTAAAATTCACTCCAAGATCCCTGATGTTAGACAGTGCTCAACGATTCACCATTTAAAGATATAGGTAGCTCATGATGTTATGTCTGTGAGCAAAGGTCATTGCACAACACTTATTGGTGTGGAGTTCATTTTTGCTTGTAGAACACTACTGTGAAAAGTCAGAGAGACCCTCTTGTAAGTGGTAGGTGTCATTAAATTCAGTAATCTTGGCAAAAAATTGGCATTGTCCACAAACAATAATATTTTACTATGTTAACAGATGAAAGATCATTAATGGAAATATTAAACAAAATATGACCTAGATGAGAGCCTTGAGATATACCAGAAATAACTACGAATGGCTCAGATGCATGGCCATTAACAATGACATACTGGCTTCTGACAGAAAAACATAGTGTATAAAAGTACTTTAAGTGTATAAAAGAAATGAAGAAGTGTATAAAATCACTTTAATTATTAACAAAATGATGATAAATTATTGAAAAAAAAGTGGTTATGTTGGAAGTCACAATAAAGAAAGGGACTACATTATCATCTATTGCTCTGAAGCTCCTGAGTCTCTAGTTATTGCTCTGTGGATGGTATTGCCTCTTTCGTCAATTCAACTTCAATTTCTTATTAAAGAATAGACTGAATATGGTTTTATTAAAAATGGAAGTATATTTATCGAGTCTGACCTCTATATCATAACTGATATAGCATTCAGCAACCAGATGCCTTATAATTAATCTTCACTTGAAATCTCAATAAATTATGTTTTTTGTAACATTTTGAACCTAGATAATAGATAAAAGGCAGGTTTTGATAAAAATCTCTCCTGTATTTCTGACAAAATGTAAATTTATTCTTTCATCTATATTACAAATTCTGTTTATGAGGCCGTTAACTGAGGGTGTCCCATGAGAATGGATATATGATTTCGTCACACCAACTCATAAGTCTGACTCCAGAAATGAAGTTACTAATTACAGACCAATCTCTATTCATAGTGCTGTACCTAAGCCTTTTGATCTATTTTTATCTGATAAATATAAGCCCAAAATTGTCCCTTTCATATCTGCAAAACAGTACGGGTTTGTGCCTAGAAAAAACGGTGATAGTAACTTGATCATCTATAGACAGACTATTGTGGATTCTTGAGAGAGGAAGATTCAAGTTGTTAGAATTTACAGAGATTTCAACAAAGAATTTGATTCTGTCAATCACAATCTACTCATTATTTAATTTAAATCATTTGGATTATCAGGATCTTTATAAAAATGATTAGCAGACTATCTTCTGGACAGAATTCAGATTGTCAAATATAAACATAATGTTTCTAAAGATATTCCTGTGCCTTCAGGGGCTTCTCAAGGGTTTTTGGCCCCTTGCTCTTTCTAGTCTTTATTAATGGCCTTTGCTCAGTCCTCAGTCTTTAAACTATTTAAAAGCATTGAATCAGCTAATACTACTACAGACCTTCAAGAGAGTCTCCCTGCTCTACAAACTTGGTATTTGTTAAATTATCTTCTTCTTCAACCTAGTAAAAGTAAGTTTATTACCTTTTCTTGACGTAGTAATATCTTCAATAGTGCCAATTAGATAAAAGGGACTTACGTGGCCTATCGATTAGAGAAGTGGGTATCATCTTTTGTGTTACAATGAATTTTAATGAACATTATATTAATACGATCATCAATCAATATTAACAGCAGCTTCGGCGTATTAAAATAACTTTAAAATAATTTAAAAATATGATGAAAATTATAATTTTCCCTAGTTAGACCTCACTTACTCTTTGTCTCTGCAGTTTACTCACCTCATTTTGAATTATACATTATCAGACTTGAAAGAGTACAACGCAAGATCTTTATGATTCTTGCACTCAGAATGTGACATTCTAAGCCATTTTATGATCATAATTACCTTTATTAATCTCATTGGCATCAAATATTCCAGTACTTAAATCCTTGAAACATTAAAATAACCTCTTACCTATAAAGTACTTTGGTAAAATTGTGTTTTTGTTACTCTACAAATTAATCTTTTGTTTATTACACCGGTGCAATATATTTTTTCATTAAGCTATGATTTATTCCACATTTCATACAAATACATAAACTCGATTATTTATATTTTTCCCTAACAGAAGAAGTAATATTCCACCACTGTATAAACATTTCTGTGTTAGACTTATATCCATATATCAATAAATAAATGCCTGTTAAAATTATTTTGTAATTATAATAATCAGGTAGTTACAGGAAAGGTCCCTGATTGACAAAATATAAATGCAATAAAGAAAAATGAATTTCAATGAATGGAGTTGCATCGTTTCATTGACAATACCTTCAAAACGTAATTGCACAATTTTTTAATCAATTTGTTCATTGTTATGTTAGTAATATAAAACTATTGCCAATGTTAAAAACACAATTTTTAGTGATTGGAATTATGCCACAAAATTAGTTGAAAGGACAAAGTGTGTTTGCTTTGTAAATGATACTTCCAAAAAAGTTTGTGTTGTGTAGTTAAATTTGTTTAAAAGATGATACAAGTCATATTCTCGAGTCACATTAGCACATTCTCAAGTCCATAATTTTTCTTAAATGCACACACAATTGTATTAGCAAAATATAGTTGTGATTTCACAGGCATACTGACAATTGTAATGCAATTGACAACCAAGAGATGTTGTCACTTTCAGCAGACAAATGTATTGTAACATTGAACAAGTTGGTTTCAAAAGTACTACTTTTAATTTTGGAATTTAGGATTACCATTTCACACATCTTCTGTACACGTTTAAGTAAAAAGTTTAAAAATTAAGAATGAACTACATATACATTCTATTAGTAATGACACTTTCTCGTGATTAAGATGAAGTTTTTCTTTGATCACACAACTCAGTTTTTTTGCTGACCATCCATCCACAGTTGACATTTCATTCATGAAAATGGAGGGAATAACGCAAATGAAAATAAGAGAAGTTTTATTGTGAGGCCAAAAAGATATTATATGAGAATGAGAAACAAAAATATATACAAAATAAATGAAATGTATTAAATATTAATGGCAACCAAAAACATAATACCTGCAATCCAGTGAGCAAACGAAAAACAGGTCTCAGTTATAGTTGGTCAGATTCTGTGGAATTAAGTATGAAAGATGCCGCCCTTTCAGCTAATGTTGTAATGATGGAGTTGGGATGACCAGATATAGGAGTAGGCATTACACTTGCATCAACTACTCGTAAGCCAGATGTTCCATGAACCCTAAAGAAAGAGGAATAAGTGAATTAATTTTTAATGTTAAACAATTGAAAGTTTTAATTTTCTTCTATCATGACCCAAAAGAGAAATTAAAGAAGCAGACTACAGTGTTTCTAAATATTTTCAGTCCAGAGAAAAAAATTAAATTATACAAGAAATAAATTTTAAAACTAGTTGTGCTACAAAGGCACATTATTTGTCTCATTGTAATGGTTATGTTGTGTAATTCTAGTTGAAACCACTATAGTTTCCAACCAACAAAAAATATACCCGTGAGTTGGAATGCAAACCCTCTCAGGGTATTCAAGCAATGAACTAATCCAGGACACCAACCACTTGGTATGCTCTCAAATGCATTTAAATGTAGGTTTTCACAGACTAATATAACAGGGGGCAACTGCATTTTTAGGCCCTATTTCTTATAACATTTACCATTTTTTTTATTTTCATACAGTATATTTTACTAGTAAATTAATAAAACATATTACAAGAAGAATTAAATTACAACTTATTTAATACAATTAATAAATACTGTACATTTCATTTTGTGACGAACCATGTACAGAATTGCCAAATAGCTTGGAGAGCATCTTCTTCTCCAAATATCCTTTAACAAATCCCCATATAACCCCATTGACATATAAAATATGGAAAACGGCAGGAATTGAAATAAATAGTTTTATTATGTAAGCCTAAGGGACCCTTGCCTACATAAGCTTACGCCTATGTTAGCCTACGCCTCTGACAAAATTTTCAAGAGAGTCTCTTGACCCATCTCCATCAGTTTCTTCATTGTTTCCCTGTTCCTTGAGTAAATGCTGAGATGGCCCCTTTTGCCTCTGGATATAAATGTAACTTCATTATCTGTGCACTTCTTCCAAAATTAATGGGAAACATAATTATTCATATTATGGATCTCTATGTAGCACCACGAAATATTATTCATTAATGAAGGACGTGATGAGAGATAAGAGCCCAAATCTATTGGTGATTTACCCTTAAAAATAGATTTTATTACATTGGAACGAATATTTTGTTATCAATCCTTGCAAAAAATGCTCATTTCTTTCTATATTCAAAATTAAACTAAGAGGAGCTTACGGTAGGAATCACAGAATTTTGAAAACATGCACAAAATTCACTTCTCCATGTAACATGTCACACAGTTTTTAATTTTTTTGACATAAATAAATAAATTAATTAAAACTCATGAGGCCACCTACCCGTGCACAGATCCTTCAAAAAGAAAGTTGAACTTTTGCCCTTTATGAAAATCAGATCATTGTGATTTCATTAAGTGAATATTGCTCTACATGAGTAACAAAACTGACAATAAAAATTAGAGCCCTTTTGAGAAAATTTTATTTACATATTACTTTCTCATGTCCTATTAATGTGATATAGAGAAAGTATAGGTGTGAACCAGTGTTAATTTGTGGTAATGTACAGACTTTCTCACACTAGTTAGTTTTCTAATCACTTCAGAATAAGCTAGCTTTTCATTATTGCCCCACATGCACCTCAACTACTTCCATGGCTCCTAAAATATGTTGTCACATTTTTCTCAAATTTTTGTTCCCCTGATAGAAGATATGGAATATGATTGTAAGGATATTAGAAGAATAGAACATGGTCCGTCATTTAGAGCCTATTTAGAGAAAATGTCCTTTGAGCATTTCTGAAAACACACATTTTGAAGTTCATTTTAACCTAAAACATTCAAGTATTAAGGAAACTTCATCCAAAATTATTTAAATAAATTGTTCTTATAAATGTGATAATGTATAGAAAATGTGCTTAATGTAAATGCTAACAATTGAGAGGTATTTCTGAAAAACGGATTGAGAAGTTTTTAAAAAGCAAAAGAATTCAACAAAATAATGATTGTGTCATGTTATAAGGTGGATTTAGCACTTTTCATAGAAAAAATTAAACAAAAAATATTTGAACAATTTTCAATTATACTCCATATAATACGTTTCGTATTAACATACTTCTGTAAAAAAGTAAAAAATCTATATCTTAAATAATGTAGTTGTAGGAAAACACCAATTTCTTTTCCTTTTGCAGTTTTCAAAAATTTAATGCTATTAATGGAAATTGGATATTCCATTTTTATAAAAGAGTAAAAAATATAAAGAAAATGTCTGAAGTCATTTTCAAAAACAATTTGGAAATGTCCCAAGTGCTCTACATAAAGTACCTGCAAAAATAAAATACCCATTTTCAATTCATGGGGAGATGATACTAGCCAGATAGATTGTGGAATATCAGTTTTGGTGAAAACCTTGAACACAGTTTAGGCCCCAGTGTTGTCACATACTGAGGGATGGACATATGTTTTTTTGAGAAATCATTTTTATTTTATTAAATACCCACTAAACAATTCACATTCAAGAATGTTATTTGCTACATAATGGAAGAATGAAGTTCCACGTCTTTGGAATCTGGGTAAAAATATGTTTTCCTGTCAAAAAATAGGTGCATTTTCCTGCAGCATTACATAGCTACCATTTTTCATTAAGTATCTGTGAGAAAGGAAAATTTGGAATTTACTGTGACAAATTTTTAATCTATTGAAAAGATATAGGATGACATAGGCAATGATATAGGTGATGTTGATTACTAAATACAGCATTTAATACCTTAGAAATGAATCAACAACTGTTGTTGGATCTGATGTTCTTCCCATTTTGCATGTTCCAGCTGGATGATAGCCAGTGATAGCAGCTGTCCTTACAAGACACTCTAAGTATGCATCATCTTCAAAATGTGGTGTGCTGTGCTTGCATTCATTCAAATGAGGTAGATGGAGACGAGCTCCTAAATCTTGAAACGGTTGAGTTTTCATCATGCGAGCAGCAAATTTTACACCTAAATCAAAAGTTTATTTTATAAGTGTAATTTATCAGCTTATGACATTAAAAACTAGAACAACAGCAGTTGCAGCAACAGCAAACAACAAATTACCATCTGACATACACACAACATCTTGTTTTTGTGAAAGATACTGAGGGTCAATTAGTGGTGGCTGCATTGGATCTGAACTTTGGAGAGCAACGAAACCTCTACTGACTGGTTGTAAACATGAAACCAATAAGACAAAGCCCTCTTGGCTAGAATTTTTGCTGAAAGGAAATAATGATCTAAAAGTCTGCAACAAAACAACAAGGAATGAGAAAAACTGAAAAGTGAAAATTTGAAGATTTAGATTAAATTGAAAATACAAATTTAAAACACAGGTACTTGATAAAAACTAATATCATGTAAACATTTGATTTTAGAATATTCTTAAATATTTAACTTATCTTGGGAGGATTTCATTGTCGGATATCAGCTATGCTTGTATTGCAAACTAGGAACTTACAATAAACATGTTGCTCAGAGGGAACAAAATAGTCTCTGGGATGGAGTCCTTCTTGTGTGAAATCATTGGGAGAGGATGGGTAAATCTCATATCTCATTTGGAAACTTGTGTCAATTCTGGAAGAATTATAAAGTAGGAGCCAGAGTTATTAGCCGAACTGCTTAACTATGCTCCCTAAAGTCACAGAAGTTAAGAAACTCGCCAATTCCTGGGTGGGTGAACATCGAGGAACCCTGGTTACTAATGGTGCTGAGTCTCTGGGCAAAGAGATGAAACCAATGAAGGCAATGACTGCCTGCGACATTAGGTGACAAGATGCTAGTATGGGTGCTAGTATTTGCAAATGAAGACAACAAATCATCACACAAATTGCCACCAAAGGAATTAAAATTTTACAATTTGATAATTTGGATTGTTGGAGGTAATGCTTGGGCAAGCTACAAAAATGATTTGAACACTTACTGTGACACCCATTCAACAAGGGTAGAATTCATATAAGAATGTCACTTGCTAGTATATTAGAAAACATTTTTAAATGCCTTGAACAATTTTTTTCAGTTTGTTGTGATGTTCATGAATTATTAAGCTCATTTGACTCCATGATCAGGCACTATTAATTCCCTATTTACCAAATTTACTCTGGTCTCATGCAATTTAAAAATACTATTCATGGTTCATTCTGCAACATTACAATGGATATTCTCAACTCATCAGTTATTCATTAATCTGTTTTGAAATGTGATATTTTCATCTTCTCTTTTATGACTAAAAATGTAATTAGAGGATGTCAATCTCCCAAAATTGATAACTGATTTCTTAATTAATTGCAAGTTATGCACTCACATCCAGCTTATAATTTGCCACTCTCCGTAACAAATCTTCATTTACTGATCCTAATCCAAACAAAACAATGCCTATGTTGGAAGAAACAGAACCAACACCAACAATTCCTGATGATGCTAAATGACCTAAGAACAGGAAAAGGATAAAAACCAAAAACAATTTATTTTAAAAGAAATTCAAATCTTTTAGAAATAGAGATAAGTTAGTTTCAAACTAGAAATAATTCAGCAGTAGACCAACCCACGTTAATGCATGGAGCTTGAAAGGCCAGTCCCTCAATGTTCAAGGGCCCCCAAAATTCTTAAAAAAATTACTTAATACTAAATTTTTCAAACAATAAAAGAAAAAAAAATATAAAAAAGAAGAAGAAAAAAAGCATAAGAGAGTGATGTGTTGCACATCATTGCATAATAATTACAATATGGAATGTAAGTTTGATGCATAAGTGTACCCAGGATTTTAATAGTAAATGGGGTAGCAAAAGATAAATATTAATATTAATAGTAATACAGTGGATGTGATGTAAAATTATAATAAAATAAATAAATATTATAAATGTATAAACTGAATAAATAAATAAAAATTGATTATATTAAAGTTAACTTTGTTAATAATAAAATTTATCATTAATTTGTAATAAAAAAAATCATTTTCTTAAACTGCAAGAGTGATTTACAAAAAACTAAAAAACATAAGCTAGCTATTTATTTTTTTATTTACTTTAAAAAACAAACTGTGAATAAAAAGTATTCTGAATATAATTGAAAAATATTTGTTAATCTTTTACAAATTTGAAATATATGAGCAAACTATTTGTCACTGTCATTATAACATTCATTTTACCTTTTCTGAACATTACATAGTGAAGAAGTTGAGAGAAACTGAGAATTTTATCCATTGTGATACTTATGGGATTTTTGATGCTTACATATAAGGGAATGTTTAAGTGATCATGGAGTCCCAAACCAACTGGTAAATCTTTAATTAGAGGAATCTGCAAAGGTAAAAATATAACTTTTTATTCAAAATTTTGAAGGAATTATTCTGACAGTAATTATCCTCTAAAATATTAAAAGCTGGTATTTCTTATGTATTATTAAAAAAAGTAATTCACAAACCTTAATGAATTAAAAGAGTTAACTTATTTTAGTAGTAATTGCAAAAATAGATTTTAAATCTGTTTGCTATAATATACAAACCCCAAATTTTTGTAACTGATAATGGGGTCCAATTCCTGATAGAAGAAGTATCTGAGGAGAATTTATAGATCCAGAACAAAGAATAATTTCATTTTTGCTGTAGACATGAACTGTCTGGTTTGTTGGTTTAATTATTTCCACACCAATAGCTCTTCTTTTTTCTGAAAATAAAACCTACAGGCAATAAATTTTAGTTACTCTACACATATATAGAAGACTATTGGTCAATCATCAGAATTACTGTTCAAAACATCAATTTGAAAGATTAAAATTATTTTAATACTATATTTATTAATTTTCCAACAAAACTACAATTTAGTGATATGACAATCATAATTTTTGTATTCTGAAATTTATTCAGGAGTAGGTCCAAAGAGATGGGGACATGAAGAAAATCTCCCTTCTAAAGTTAATTCGACCTTCCAAAACTATCTTTGCAATTTTTAAATACATTTTTAATGTGAAAACACTTGATGTTCATTTAATATTGTTTAGTGACAATAAATCTTGAAATTAATTTGTTGGAAAAAAATGGGGTTGCCTTAATCATAAAACGATTTACATTTGGCTTATTGGACAATATTTGTAAAGCTTGTCTCCCACACAAACACATATATCACTCTGTAACCATCCTTGTTTTCACATTAACAGATACATTTGCTTAAGTTAACAGATTTTATTCGCACTACTTTCATTGCATTCACTATTCGCACACCTTCGAATAAAAATGCTATTTCAGATTTTTCAAGGAAAACATTGAATTTCACTTTCAGTTATAGGTTTTATCACCCAAAGAAAATTCTTATTTTCTTTTACTAATGACACAAGTTGTTGGAATTTTAAAAGAGAATTGTAATTCAGTGGCAATAAAACTATAATGCAATGTTACTATAGACAGTAAAATACTGTGACAAATCCTACAATTAATGAATAAGATAATTAATTTTTCTATAAAATTCATACCTTTGAAACTACTGATTTAAGAAGCATATTTATGTTACTTTGTGCTAAATAAGGTTTCAAAAACCCATCAAAAGTACTCCAACGATGTCCTTCCTTTATTGTACTATAGGCAGATGAAAATGATACTTTATCATATCCCAATCTCTTCATTACTTCACCACCTTCTGTAAATGCTGCCGCAAGGGTTGACATTTCTGGAGACAGTGTAGTTATATGAAGTTTAGGATGATAAATTTTATGTGCCTGGAAGAATTGAGAACAAAAATATAAAGGAGATAAAGATATATTTACAAATCAAACTGCTTTTATGGCCTTAATATTGATACCTTCTCATGGAGCTTTCTTTGGCAAATGTTATCAACAGCTAGGGAAAACACTGACTTATAATTATTTGAGCACGAATTGTTTGTTTTTGTGAAATACTTCTCTCCTCTTTCTGATATTAGTAACTTGCTCATAGTTGTCTGAATATTATTATAACTCCAACCTTCAACCCCCATATTTCTCCACGTTTCAAAATCTTCCTCAATACCTGAGAAATGTACCATGTAATTGATTTTACCACTTCCACCAACGCCTCGTCCCCTAGGCCACGCTGAAGTCTGAAATAAAATGGAAATTAAGAAGTGTTTCTCATGGACTGGAATGCATAAGAATATTATACTCTACTTGTAAGTTCCAGTTACTCTTAGGGACAGAAAGTCTTTGTGCCCATTTCATTGGGTTTACCTCATTATTTAAGCCCCGAGAAGAAAATTTTTGTGGAATGGTTCGATAAGCCCAATCATAAGAAGTTTCTTGAAGAAAAGGAGCAGCTAAAGGTATAGAAGACCACCATGGAAAATACTCTCCAGCCTCAATCAACAAAACAGTTGGGCTTTTCAGATCACGAACTAAATGGGAAGCTATCACACAACCTGCAGTACCAGCACCAACTGAAAGTTTAATAAAAATTGGAAAATTGGTTTTTAAAGTAGATTACAGATATTATTTTGAAGACAACTAATTGAACAAATGCAGTGCTCTATTACTACAACAATAATTAGGCTACAATCATTTATACAAATTTAATGTTTCCTCAATAGAGGTGGATTTTGCCCATTATTAATTTTGAAATATTTACAGCGTTTGAGTTTATGTTTTAATTGATTGTTAAACATAAAACTTTGCATTGTTCTTACACAGGAATTGTAATGCGTAGCCTAATTATTTCAACTGATCTACATTCGAGTGCCTGTAATCATTCTGAAAGATAAGACTGGGTGGCTGATAGGACCGAGACAATATTAATTTACACCAAGCTCTACCCTTCGGGTGGGATTGCATAAATGCATGTCTGATTTAAGCAATTTTTTTTCTTCGTACATTTATGAAGTGCATAGTATAGTATTTATTTACAATATTACTTAGTTTATTAATAACAACTTTTAATTTTCTCACCTTACATAAGAAAAAAAGAGTAAGTAAAGTATTGTAACCTTGGGCCAGAAAACTGCAAATTTTCGACAGAAAACACTCATTGCCGGGCCTTGGTGCCGAAAAATGAATAGTTCGTATTAATATTTAGTATAATAAATTACTTTCTCTGACACATTGAGTATTCAGATTCTGATCAGAGTATTCTGTGGTTCTCGATACCGAAATATTGACGGCAATACGTCTGTCGATCCATCTGTCCGTCCTTGATCGCTAGAGCCTAAATCGTTCAGCCGATTTTCTTCAAATTTGATGTCGTGGCGCCTTGAATTTGACACCGATATTTTAATTTTAAAGGGTCTAATTTTTGTTTATTAAATTTTGTCAGTTAACGTAAAGAACACTTAAGAAAGTAGTGCAGGTCTTATCTTCGTTGATTTTCCTGAATTTTCGGAAATTGCATAAGTTTAATTTTCTTCGGGGTCTTCCTTCAAGTAAAATATTGAAGATACATATTTTTTCCTTTATGAAATCTGTTCTTCGAAGACATTTTTTAAAATAAGATCACGTACCTTGTACAACTTTTCGAAAATTTGAGTTGTTTTCGTGTGCTTTTGCGTGAAATATAGGCATTTTCAATTTTTTAAATGATTTTTTTTTCAAAAGCGGCTCAATTTTTTCTTTAAGTTTTCTCCTCGTATATATCAAAGGATTGTAAAACAATTGATGCTTTTCTCATTTCTGACGAATGCTATTTTCGAAAATTGAAAAATTTTTACGTTTAAAAATTACAAATTTGGAGATAGAGATTTTTGCTTTAAACAAAATCTGTTCTAAAAAATCTACTCCTTTGAAAAGGTCATATTTTAAAAAAAATAGTTTTTATGTAATTATTGCTTGAAATGCAATTTATAAAATATTTGCAAAAACAACCATCTCAAAAACAACTCCAAATTTGTTCTTCATTTTTTACACTGATAGAGCAAGGAATCCTTCAAAGAATGGCGCGGGTCAGATTTTCTTTACACTACCTGAATTTCGAAAATTATAAATTTAGAAATAGTGCGAGAAAGTATGTGCGAGAAACTATGTGCTAGCACCACTACTTCCTTAATGCAATCTGTTCGTCAACAATATACCTTGAAATTATGCACTTCTTTTGAATATATGAATAGATTTTTAGTGAAACATCGACAATGTTTAAACAATACTTTCTAAAAATGGCTCAAAAATTTTCTTTATATTTTTTTCCTGATGTGTAGCAGAGAACGGGAAAGAACATTTTTGGCAAACACTCTTTATTTTCGAAAATGGCAAAAAATACGATCTCAAAAGTAAATTATGGATGATAGAGATTTTTTCTTAAATTAAATATGTTCATTAAAAATTAGTTGCTGAAACTCGCCACGCAGCGAGCACAGATCACTATCATTTACCGCGATAAAACATGAAGTACACTTACGGGTCTAATGACCTTTGCCGTTGACATGCCAGGAAACACTAATAAATAAATAAATTTCAAAAAAGCATCCAAAAAACAAGAAAATAAGTCTATTTTTGTTTCACTCGTACCAGTTTCTTTCGATTGGCATACGGTACAATAAACAAATGCGTCCACGCTGCTTTCTTCAAATAATATAAAAACTTCACTTTGGTGGATGTATTCCTGGTATTCCTGGCTCCCTTGCATACCCTGAAAAATTGCCCTATTTTACTTTCTCGCCCTTACTAACGTAAAAAGTCAAAGCATTGTAATCGTGCGCCGGATAACGGGGAATTTTCGACCCCAAAACTCTTATTGTCTGGCCCTGGTAACGAAAACGTGGATATATCCAATTGCTAAGTGTAGAAAAAGAGTCCTCTTACTCGTGGTGTAGCCATCTTTGTGTGTCCTTCACATCGAAAAATCGATTGACGACAAATCTGTTTATCCGTCCGTGTGTTCAAGTGATGAATATTTTTTAAAATTTATTTATTCGACGTCAACACAAAAAAGAGTTAATTACTATGTATAGTATGAGAAAGAAGTTTCTACTTTTCAGATAGTTTGCTTATCTAAACTTTGCGCAAAATTCAATTGCAGCACATTACACTAATCATAATGTAGTTTAGGTTTTCTATGATGTAGTCATAATGTGTCGGTGGGGAATGTATTATTTCTTTATTAAAATTTAACAATGTTGACGCCGCCACGAGAACACATATGGTCTGTCCGTCCGTTTGTATGGCGTATGTGAACAACACTAGTGCCTTAACTAAGCGTTCGATTTTTTTCAAACAGAATAAATCCCTATCGATCTGGCCTGTACGACGTAAATTCGTATACTATACTATGAATGCATACTATATACTTAAAGATAACGCCATAATTCAGCTCAATACATGCGACTAAACATAATTTAACATCACGAATATTTCAAATGTGCACAGAAATAAAGGAAAATTAACTACAGAAATTAGACGTGGAGCTGAAAATTGTTTTACATGTATGTCCATTCGTTATTTGTTCAGGCGATGAATACTTTTTTAAATGTATTTATTCTACGTCAACACTTAAAAACAGTTAATAACTATGTTTCCGTATGAGAAAGAAGTTCATACTTTTCAGATGGTTTGCTTATCTAAACTTTGCGTAAAACTCAATTGCAGCACATTACATTAATTATAATAAAGATTAGGTTACCTATGATATAGTCATAATGAGTCGCTGGTGAATGTATTATTCCTTTATTAAAATTTAACCATGCTGACGCCGCCACGAGAGCACATATAGTTCCCAGCATAAGAACGGACATCATTAAAAACGCTGAAAACAAGAAATCTACAACCAAACCTTTGTAAAAAAAAAAATATTTGATTGGTGTATCACTTACAATTGGCTACGTACTTACGTTTCCTCTGAAAAAATAACTGAAATACCTCCATGGTCTGGTCTGCAGATCACTAACTGACGTACCTATCTCCCCTTTTGCCTCCCCTCCTCGAAGCTATGTTGTAGGTCTTCGGGCGATATGAGGATTACAGTGTCCGCTGAACAGCATTTCTGTCCTGGAGACTCCTATGCTTCATCGATTCTTTAGAGCAGAGGCCGATAAATCTGTTTCTTTAGAGTCAAATAGAAAATATAATAACTTCTGCGGAACAAGGGACAAAATTAATGGTATATTTATAAAAAGTTCTACTTCAATAAGAAGAATAAAGTTTTTGTAACATAATGTATCGAACTAAATGTAACGATCAAAATGCCAAGTAGGTATACAAGTATGTAGTTAAACATGAGCAACATTGCATACCATTTAAAAAAATTCAATTTATTTATACTACATTAGGGTATAACCCAATGATATCTAATTACATAAATAATGTAACGAACATACGAATTTCATCATCATTATAATAATAATAATAATAATAATAATAATAATAACAACAACAACAACAACTAGCGTTCCCGTGCGAGATCCGTATGTTCATCCCCATTCTTTCCGTATCCGTTTCTATGCCCTTTTCATTAAGATGGAAAGTTGTTATGAAACGTATTTATTTGTTAAAAAATCTATAAATATAACTTCGAACTAACAGAATATCAAACAAAAATAAAAACCATCCAATTGACGCTGGAAACAAATTTTCAATAAATGTTTATTCAGTATTACAGAGATATGTTTTTCGAACAATTCAAACTTCCTTAAAAAACACATTTTAAATAATTATCCAATCTTCTTTGACAGTCTTTCGCTTTCCTTGACAGTCAAAAAAATATTAGAAAAGGTTTTTACGCTTGAGGGAGCCAAATAAAGTTTGCCAGGCGAAAACACATGATCGTTATTTGTATACTAAAACGTATTGGATTGTTTCTTGCATTCTTACGTACCTCAAGAAAACCAATTCCGAGCCAAAAAACAATAAAATTAATACTTTCACTTTTGAGTAATAAAAACCATCTGCTACCATTAGAAACAATTCAGGAAGCTTCATTTCGGTACGTGGGAATGTTGCTCAAACGATGTTTAAGTATTGATTATCTTACCAAACCGACACCTTAAGTTTAATATCGAACGGTGTATTATTTACAATATGAGTTTGCAGCTGGGCGTTCATGTACACATTTCCATACAATCGTGCATCTGGATTGTGATCGTTGGCAGTTGTCGAAAGACTTGCGCTATTCTTTCTATAATTTTAAATTTGGTTGATAAGATTTTTTATTGATTTTAAAATAATTAACAAAGTTTTGTAGGCTAGCGCGTTTTGATTTTTCATTTACTTCAAACTATTTTACTTTAGTTAATTTAAAAAGTTTCTTTGTGTTGTGCCTAAGCACAAGGTTTCAACTATTACCTCTGCGTACAGTGCAAGTGCTGTCGCATGTTAAACCCTACACTCTTCCATATCCTTCTATTTCCATTCTAAGAGGGAAAGTTTACAAAACGTATTTATTTTTAAAGAAATGTAAAGGTAAATTGTAAAAACGTATATTATACCAACGTAATATCAAATAAGATAAAAAACAATGCAAATGATGTGGAGAAGAAATGTATACTAAAACTTAATTCAGTATTGTAGAGAGATTTCCTGGAACATTTCACAACTCTCCCTTCACAATATATGAAGAAATAATTCATTATTCTCTGACAGTAAGCTCTTCGTTTTTCGTGATAGTCACAAAAATATTAAAAAAGTTTTTTACTATTGAGAAAGCTAAGTGGCTGAACACGCCGACTTGATAGTTTCACCGAAACGCTGCTAATAACAAAAATACCGTTACAGGTACTACACAAACCATGTGTGTCTATTCCATCATCCATCATCATCATACTTTCATTTCATCCCCCAGGGCTAACAACCCTGGAGTATAAAAATGGTTCAGCATTAAAAAGCTGATCCCTCCAATAGAAAAAGTAACGTGCTCCTACCCCGATTATCAAGTCTAAGCCCCGATGGGATGCACGTATTCTCGAAACAACAATAACAACAACAACAACAACAATAATAATAACAACAACAATCCCCCAGAGCTAACAACCCTGACTGTAAAAACAGATTCAGCATGAAAATGCTGATCCCCTCATAAAAGTCACGTGCCTCCCCTGATAAATATGTATGAGCCCCGGTGGGTGACACGTTTGCGTGGTCCCGAGATGGCCAATTCGAGACAAAAAATCTAAAAAGTCTTTTCGGACGAACTACGAAGCAAATAAAGTGTCATTTGAAAGCTGGACATCTTTGATTCATACAAAAGTAGTTTACATTTTAAAACATTTATAAAAAAAATAATTTCTGAAATGACATCACGCACAACCTGGCAGTATGGCGGGTAGTATCAGTCAAGGAAGCGCAGAGCGAGGACGGTGGCAAGGACCATGTTTGAGCAGCCGGGGCTCGCGAGGGCAGAGCAGGCCACAGCAGGCCTTGCCAAGCCAGGTCAGGGAGAGGATACAGAATGCATTCCCTTCCTGTCTGAATTGATTAACAAGGAATATAATTATCCAGACAAGTAAGATGATTCGATTTTAAACTTCTCGTGCGATTAAATCCCGCTGGCTCTAATAACAACAACAACAATAATAATAATAATAATAATAATAATAATAATAATAATAATAATAATAATGATAATAATAATAATGATAATAAGGGCCCGGATATTGATGCCGTAAAAACTTTAAGAAATGCACTTGCGTGGACTCAAAATTCGAAAAAGACACAATAAAATGATGAAAGAGATGTCATAAAATATTAACTTAAACATTTCTAGCACTGGACAAAATGCTTTAATTTTCCACTTCGTATTTCGCGACCGATGAGCTGTGCTACAGTAAATCGTCTTTAAGCAGCTATTTTAGTTTGCTGTACTACATGTTCCATCTGTAGAAAACACATTATCACCAAATTCAGATACTATTTCTTTTAAATGAACTGACACACTCCGTTCTATTTTTAGGCTTTTTGAGAGTGGCAGTGAACTGGCACCTATCGCCACGATCTTTGCGGAGTTGTGACCACAGAAGTCAGCGAGGCCTCGATGGATCTTGCACCATACGTTGATCGTACGATCAAATGTTGTATCATGCGCGTTCGCAATGGAAGGTTTCTTTGGGTTCTCGCTTGAAAGAAATGATGTCACGTGAAAGAAGTATGCTGAGACAACAATATCCACCCCTTCACCCTCCGCTAGACCTCTCCTCGAAGCAGGTGTCATTCCATTTCGCTCTTAATTGTTTTCCGACTAAAACAATGTTTATAACAATAATAACAACTTCATTTTCTTCCATTTCAAATGTCTTTGTATTTGAGCAATGAAATACTTTTAGTAGGCAGTACGGACAGTACTTCCTCACTTACCAACAATTTCACACGAGATTTCGATATTTGTAAGTACTTGGTTTTTAATCGGTATTTGTTGATAATGATCTCTGGAACTCACTAACACTACGTTCCACAGTAATAATAGTAATACGTTGGAGTAATAATAAAGTAACTTGAAACAATTTAAAAAAAACATCGATGGTGCAGATTTGAAAAAATCGTTATTTTAGAGAGAGAGAGAGAGGGGGGCGAGGTAAAGAACTAACCTGCTCCTAACTGCTTCATTCAAAGTCCCCCCCCCCCAGTTAACAGGGCTATGAGTGGGCCAAATCGATCGGAGGATTTTCATTTAAGGAAAAATCGTATATACGGTTTACGTTGTAGGTGCTCACAAACGGACAGGCGTTAAAAAACACCACTCTATGCGTATGAGAGGACCGCAAAATGTATCTGCTTCTCTATAGTGGCTACTACGATTTCGTCGCCTTTATTTTTTTACGTACGCATACGAGAAAGTAATATGATGACATCCAATGATGCTACAAAATAGCACAGACTTTCTCGTGTAAGTTAGCTTAGCATTCTATTGACTCGAGGCTAGCTTTATGGTTTGCCATACCCTCTTCCCCGTTGCCAACTATCGTTGCCAAATTCGGGCCTCTGGAGGTACACAGCTGCTCTCCTGGGGACAACTCTTTAAGTGAAGAGGTTCTTCACGCACCTCAAACATCACCTTCAGACCTCTCTCTCGGCCCTTCACCATTACTCACTTGCACATAGTAGCCTGCAGTCTCATCTCGATGCTTGCATCGTTATTCTTAGGGTTGGAATGCAATTTCTGGAGCGTTTCATCTAAAGAAGAAAAGAGGAAATATCTACCTTAGGTTATCTCTTGCGAAGGAAAATCGATTTCGAAAAAGCAGAAAAACCTGACAGTTCCCTAACCTGCAGAATTAAATTGCCTTGGTCCACCAGAAATCTTTCACAGCATCTCCAACCAGTGGTGGACCAGGCGGTGGTGGCCATGACCCCCCGCCCCCACCAAGCATACGTTTTTCGTTTGTCACATTCCTTTATTTCGCAAAATTGATTTAAATATTTATTTATGTTACAGTTATGAAATTATTTAAAAAGCAATATTGTATAGAATCAGATATATACTACAAAAATATATAATATAATAACAGGAATGTTTATTATTTAATAAAAATCTATGATTCCCCCACCACCCATCCACTGATTGGATTAGCCCGTCTCCAGCATATTATAAACACCTGCAGTAGATGAATAGATGTGTTAATCTATGCAGATACCTACTTGATTAACAAAACGAATCAAGGCATGAATAGATCATATGGAAGAAAATTGATGACGTATAATTTTTAATTATTAATTCTGAAAATCCTTCCTTTTCCCTGAAAAAAAAAAAACACGTACCTGTTCAATCCACCTATTGCCTAAACTCAAGTACCTAGTTTTACAATGTATTTCCTTGTTTAAAAGAATCTTAAAATAGTATCACCATAGATTAACACCATTATAATGGATATATTCATCCATGGTATCACCTTCAAGTTTGTGTCTTGCAATAGTGCTGACTCCTTCATATAGGCCTATTTCTTATTTTATCGCTAAGGTCATTTTGCTATAGGAGTCTATGCTACAAGTGCAGAACATAAAATAGTGATAATATACCATTTACCCACAACAAATAACACAACACAACCTTTAAGTATACGTCATTCACTTGCACTTTGACGTACTAATTTCCCAATGGACGAATGAATAAAAATTAAGTGTGGACGTCGTCTTATCCCTCGATTATCAGAACGGGATTCCCGTCGGATACATTTGTATAAGGTCATTACACAATTCAAAGCAGTGACGTATTTTCTCGACTCGGTGTATTCATTTTTTCTGATAGAGCTCACTGAAAACTTCCTGTATTTTGGATTATGGATTTGTATTTTTATTTTGTCTGTTTCTGAAACCTCTCAACTTACACTATAGGTTATGATAAATATCAGTTATTGACGACCTAGCTGTTTTGAAGTCTTCGTAAAGCTCCATAATCTGACACAGGCATCACTGTCATGGAACACATGGGACTTCATTTCTGCAAGCATATCAACTGTACTACTCTCGCGTTGACTAAATATACAAGTATGAGGGGCGCGACTGTATTTCCCGGGAAGGTAAAAGGAAACGTTTTACACTGATGTTCCAGCTTTTGTTCGTGACTTCAACATGACCCCAGAAGGGTCATTTGGGTGCGATGTTGCAGCTCGTTATCAGATACAAAGTCCAGAGAGGCAACATTTGAGAAGCACAAAACAACGGGATTCGATCAGCCGGAAAGTGCTCTACAACCTGACATAAGAAATGCTTAAGATGAAAGTACTTTTCATCTCCTTCATTTTTGCTGGTTAGTCATATTTCTCTGCTCTTACCATTTGTATAAAAAACGACACACTGATATGCATAAAAAATTGTAATTTACTAGGCAGAGCAATGCATTTGCTAATTTATTTGTTTTTAATTTTTTATTAATGTAATCATCTATCATAATTATTATTGTTTTATTATTATTATTATTATTATTATTATTATTATTATTATTATTATTATTATTATTATTATATTTTTTATAATTATTATTATTATTATAATTATTGTTGTTATTATTATTATTATAATTATTGTTGTTATTATTGTTATTATTAATTAATACCACTAAAATAGTTAATTATTAATGTCTGTAGTGGTGATGGTTCCATTGAAATATGTATCATGTACATTAATATGCTGTTGCCAATTAATGAAATGTTTTTTCTGAAAGTTCTCACATGCAGAATTCAGAAGTAACAATTTATTAAATGAATTTCAAAATGTCTCAATAAAGTTATCATTCTGCTACTGCCCCATTGAATAAAATTCATTCAGATTATCTTCAATGGTCTTTTAAGGCATTACAATATTAGATTTATTTAGCAACAGTTTATTAAGATGCATATGAGATTGTATTTCTGTGTAACTTAATTCAAACTCTTATTGCTTATAGGCATTGTACACGGGAACATTGGTTCTGGCCATACAACTAATCAATTGAACACAGAATTTAATTCAGAAGAATTAATTGATGACCAAGTTATTATCAAATGTGTAAATAATGGAGATGATGAGGTTTATCAAAAAGCAAAGGTGCATCTCTCATCATACATTTAGACTATAATTGTAATTCATTTTCCTTTGTGGCTCTCATATATTTAATCATCTTTATTGCAGTATGCTCGACAAAAACTAACTACGTGTGGCACATCTCTCTTGCATACTGATAAAGTACTTCCTGAAGTCCGAGCTGCAGTCATAGGTGGAGGAAAAGGAATGGGACCCATAATTAAGAAAGTATGCAAGTAAGTGCAATTTGCAATATTGTGATAAAGAGAAAATCATAGTAGTTCAATTTTTGCAATATTTAAAGAACAAATGTTGGACAAGATACACACTATATCTGTTACTGAGAGACTAATATCTATTGCTGAGAGAAATTGTCCCTACAAAAAAAATTAAAACTAAAATGGTTGCAAGTAATTTATTTCATGCTCTTAAAACATTTGGTCAACAGGCATCTTAAGTATGAATTTTTGATTAAGGTTTAGAGTTTGAAGATTCTTTTCTGTATTTACTATTATTGTTTTCAATAACAACTGGTATGCAACATTGTTTAGAAGTGTAAATGAACTGAAATAATTATTTTACTTAAATGTTATGTTATGGCTAAAAGTGTCAATAATTTCTAGATCATACCAGACCTCTGGTCATCTCTGCCTGAGCAGGTATTTAAATGATTTAAAACCCTGTCTAAACGAATCTCAAACACGTTTGGAGGAGCTTGTTGTGAAAATGTCAGAAACAAGTTGGGAATATGCATGTCAGAAGGAAGGTTTACGAGCCCAGAGTCAGTATCACATTATCTCATTTAATATAGAGTGAACTCTAACATGTTCTTATTTTCTTTACAATGGTGTGTAAATTAATTTCAGTGTTCTTCAAGAATTCCACAATTTCATGTTTTGAAGAAACAAGTCCAGGAATACTTCATTGTGTTGCTCCATATTTACCTCTTTTACGAGCTGCAGGAGATCCTACTAGAGCTGTAGCTCAAATCCTTGTAAACAAAGAATGCAGGTAAAATAAAAAGTAATTTTTGAATATAAATAATACTACCACCTGTTTTATTCATTCAATTTTTACTCACAACGATAACATGCCTGTGCATTTATAAATAATTTTACTTCACAATTAAATTATGAAATAAATATCCTAAAAGTAACTTCTGAAAAATTAAATAGTAAATACATTCTTAAACCATGAAGTTATTATTATTTTTGTTATGGCTAATGTTGAATATTATTTATTTTCTTCATTTTTCTTATTTTTATCTAATTATCATCTTCATTTTTTCTTTTTCTTTTTATAATTTACATTTAATTTTTTTTTTTAGTGTTTTCTTAACAGTGGCCAATTGTATTGTGAATGAAATGAACAAATGTGATGATAAAACTGCAGCAAATTTGGTGGCTGGAAGTTTTAATGAAACACTTCGCATAAGTCCATGTGAGGAATTTGTGGGGTCAATTAGTGGTGAACACAAGAAGCCAACCAGTCTCCAGACACTTGTTGATGCTCAATCATTACAAATGGTACTAATAAATAAACTAGATGAACTAGTTAAAAATATCAATGAAGAAAGAGAAGAATCAAGACAACATGAAATACACACTCAACAGACTCTTAATTCCCTTATTGAGAATCAATCAAACCTTCTTCAGAAATTATATTTGCTTCTGGAAGAGTCAGCCAGTAGATCCCAAAGACATTGAAATTTATTGGTTCTCAGTGAAAAATGTTTGTAATACATTATTATTTATGAAAAATACTACAGCCAGTGTTGCAGTCGGGTGGATATAATAATAAATTGTGTTTTGTAGAAGTAATAAGATTGGTGAAATCTATTTTTATTTCCTGTTAAGCTGTATTTAGATGTGTACAAATTAAATATTAGAAATATTTGTTATTATTTTTAATGTATTGTTGAGTTTCTAATTTCGAGCTATGATTAGATGGACTGTTAAATGGAGGACACAATAATTGTGGGGAAATTATGTTTAACAATAAAGCTTGCAGTACATTATAAATTTTGTTGAAAACTCTGAATGATTGTAAAGTTTTATACCTCATTGATTTAAAAATATTGTAAAATTATAATTAAAAAAAGTGTTGTTATATGAATTATATTTTTAATTTTATGATATTATCACCTCTCACTTGAGAATTAGGTGTTGCAGAATAAATGCCCTATTGGACAATATTCTTCAAATTTTTCAGGTCTTGAATGTCTCTCTGTAATAAAAATGATATAAAAATATTATTCCAGCATGCATTTACTTGTCACTATTAATATAATTTATGTTCTTATTTTCAACATACTTTTAATTTCTATGAATAAAAAATTGTTTACTATTCAACATCATCTTCTATTCTCCTTTCGATTGTTTCTGTCCTCCATGAATCTTATAGCTTGATAAGAAGTGCAGAGTTCATCTTTCTATCTAGGGTCACATTTCTTATTGACTTTTGGTACTGTGCTGGTTCTTTCAACGGAAGTGGACACACTGTTTATGATCACTTGTAAGGGAATAGCAATAGACACAACTGTAAGTTGTCAGCATGAAGGAAATATTGTTATTATTATTACTTCTTGCAGGTGAGAACGATGTTTTAAATGAAATGATCATTTTATCACTGTTGTCTTTTAAAGATAAAAAATTATGTTTGTCAACATTATCCTCATTATTAGATTTATGCACTAAAAATAATGAAATGACATTGCTGTGCAGGGACAGTATTTACAAAGACAATGTACCCTCCTGATTTGAAAACACTTTGTACTAATGAAGAAGCAGAATTGGAGTATGAAAGGTTGAAAGTAAGCATATATTTTTTTCAGAAGAAAATTTTCCTGATCATACATCCATGCATATTGTAATTAGGGGCCTAATGAATTTTTCATATTTTTAATGAAACTCATTTTCCTTTGTTCTAGTTTTATGAATTGACCCAGTGTTTAGCAAATGAACTTAATGCAACTGCCTTTAGACAGGAAATCCTTCTTGCTGGGGACCATGATAAAGTTGATGCAGTAATAGCAAAAGTTTGCAAGTAAATTGAATGCTTATGTTATATAATATTACATTGTATATTTTTTAGAGTCATTAACAAATTAATAATGCATGAAGACTTTAACAAATAGTGTTTTAAGTATAAATTGAATATATAAACTTATGAATATATGAGTATTTTCGCTAATTTATACATAATTTGCATTAGTTAAATACTTGTATGATCAGTTCATGCAGTAAAATTGACTTATAATTACAACATAGAAGCAAACTTCTGTTGAAGGCATCTTCCGCAAATAATGGAATGTACAGGAGAGTATGTGTCATCTATTGGTCCTTGTATGAATGACAATCAGCGCCGAGAGAAGGAACTTTGGAGAAATCTACGTATGATGAATATGGAATTTGCATGTGGAGCTGGTCGTCATGATCTTGTTCGTAAGTTCACAGAATGTAATTTTAATTTTTGCTTATATAATTTGCAAAATGTATATAATATATGCGAAATTTTTAATTAGCATTACTTTCTTCATATAAAATGTTCTCTACATGTGGTTAATATAAAATTAATTATTGAAATTCTAAACATGTGTTTAATGCTACTGGTCGATATCTGCCAAGCTCTCCAAATATGTCAACTATGTTTCATAAGTAAATTAAACACAATCATCTGCTTGCTGTGGTGGTTAGCAAACTTACATGAGCTGCAGCATAAGAATCCACGGTTTAACCTTTAAATAATGTATTATACACACATTCTCACACTGCATCTCAAAAGGTCAAATCCTTATTTATGAATATTGTAGGTAAAAGAGAGGATGAAGTTAAAGTTAAAATAAGAAACTGAGGTAAGAAACAGTTTCTAATGAGAGTGTCAAATATTAATGTCACACTGATATCCATATCCCTGGGCATACATAGTGGTTCAATTTTATTTAAACACAAAATTTTTCATTTCACATACATGTATAAAATTATATTTTCATCAAAACTGATGATTATTTAACTCTCTTCCTACTTTCTCGTATACGTACGTTTACACAGAGTATTTTACGTAGTACAGAGAAAGTTATGCTATGCTGCTGAAAATTGATTTCGAGATTTCAAGAGTAATACATGTTTCGGGGTATCATGATACCAAAAACGTGTCTAAGCAAAGCGTAGTATTTTTTTTCAAACTTAGCACTCCCCTGTCGATCTGACCCTCTTCGAATCTCTGCGATTTTTAATAACAGTTTTTAAAATTTGGGGGTACTTTACATGAAGACCCTCGAGCATTTTCAAAAATGGCTCCAATTTTTTTCATTAAATTTCTTGTAAGAATAGTGTGGAATACACTTTCATAAGTTTACATACAAAGGTCCAATTTTCGCTGCTAACTCTGAATTTTCAAAAATTGCAAAATTTTGAAATACTTTCGGCGTCTTCCTACGACTACAAAATTGAAGATTTGCCTTCAAATGAAATTTGTTCTCCATTAAGTTTATATACATTTAATGTAGTTCATATACATTCTTTTGAAAATGCTAGTATTTTTTGCGCAATATTGCGTGAAATAAGGTCCATGTGCAATTTAAAAACCGAGATTTCTCACAAACCGCTCCATATTTTTCTACAAACTTCTAATAACGTTAGTGCTAAAAGTATTTTCAGAAAAGCTCGTAAGACATTTTCGCAAAAACCGCTCCAATTTTTTTCTTCAATCTATTTTACAGTTAGTGGTTAATGCTCTGTATAAGATGACACCGTTTTGCTGCTTTCTTTTGTTTCATCAAAAGTTACGCAAATGTAATATTTTCGATGTCTCTTTCGCGTCGTTAATATTCACATAATCTGCGCTTTGCATACATTATTGAATTTGTGAGTCGAAGTGTTTCAAATAATATCATTTGAAGGTTCACCAAAACTCAAAACTTTTCTGTTGAAATGAGTTTCATATTTCGTACTTACAGAAACGCTTTAACTACATTTTCTCAAAAACGGATATACCTTTTAAAATGAAAATTGCATACTCATTGCGTTCTCAAAAGTGACTATTGGAACGAAAATGACCATAAGATTTCCCGTTAATTCACCTGATTCTTCAACTTCACTGTGATTATACTTTGGTATTGCTGTGACTATACTGTCGCTATACTATGCTACTTATTGTAGAATTCACATAATCGTGATAAAAATTAGTGTGCAAGATTTAGCCATATTTTGGTATAGAAATGTGTTTTACTTAACTTGTCTCAGTTTTCTTGCCTTTTAGCACTGTTTTTTAGCGAAAAAACATGATATTTGCCGAGACCCCCTCGCCCCCACGTATATTAGGTGAGATTCTCCTTTACCCCCTACCCCCCCTAAAGGCCTCACGCAATTTATGGATAGTCCGTTACAGGCTGACACCTTCAATCTTAGGATTCACCATTCACATTCCAATGTTTTTATTATTTCATCTAACCATCTGAACAACGTCTTCTGCCTTCAGTGTCCCATAACATGAAGTCCTTTTCTGACCTTCTCATGAGGAGTCCAAAATATTGCAGTTTGTGTTTTGTTGCCATTGTTTCAACAGAGGGGCGTGGCACAATTTCCTTCAGGACTAATTTGTTGGTACGCTTTGCCGTCCATGGAATCTTTAATAACCTTCTCCATGTCCTCAACACAAAAGCATCAAGTCCCTCTTATCTTCTTTATGTAGCATCCAGCTCTCGGAGCCGTACGTCACTAGCGAGAACACCTAGGTGTTGATAATTTGAATTATGGTGTTTTTCGAGATGTCTGAGTCTGTGGTGATTTTTTCAGTTTTGTCATGGCTACTTTGCCGAACCTTATTCTCCTTTTCATATCCTGAGAAGAGTTGCCTTTTTTGTTAATAAGTGTTCCAAGAAAGGTTAATTCGTCAATAGTCTTTAACTTCTGCCCTTGTAAGAAAATTTCTGCTTCCTCTCCTACGTACATAATCCTGGTCTTCTTTATGTTGAGATGAGGACTATATTCATTGCTTATTGAGTAACTCTTTCCAATACATTTTGTAAATCTTCTTTCGCTTCACCCAGTAGAGTTGTGTCGTTGGCGTACTCGTATTTGAGGTTGTTAATTTTACGCCCTCCGATTCTTATTCCTATTTCTAAATCCTCTAAAAATACGTAAATAATAGATACAGTACATACTTCCTCGCAATATTTGTAACGTATGTATTTACATTGCAACTTTATAGAGGTATAAACTTTCCAATCTAATGTTCTACGATTTGTAATATTAAATTAATTAATATTAAGTTAAACAATGATATGGGATTCTCAAAATATCCAACTGTTTCTAAGAACTTCTCAAATTACGAACACGAAGTGCGGGAAATTCGAAGCGGACGACTATGTTTGAGACGCAATTACACACAAAAAACTCATATTTTCGAAAACTTGAACATGACCTTATTTGAAGATGTGTTTTTGACGGGCACATTCCATTATGAAAAAAAATATCTTCATCATTAAGAAAAAAAATGTATCTTTACAGTTCTAGAAAAACCCTGAATAAATAAAATATTATTGCAATTTTCGATAAATCAGAAATGTCCATGAACATGAGACATGTACCATTCTCTTATGCGTTCTTTATGACATCTGAGGTCAAAATTTAATAAAATAGTCGGTCCTGTTTGAAAGAAAAAAATGTTTTGAAGAATATAAAAAATGCCTACGTTTGACAAAAAAATACGCCAAAATATCCATATTTATGAAAAATTGAACCTGACATTATTTAAAGATTTGCTTTTGATTAACACATTTCATTATGAAAAAAAATTATCTTCATTATAGTAGTTGTAGGAAGAAGTTGAAAAATTTTGAACTTTTGCAATTTTAGAAAAATTAAGGACTTAAACGAAAATGAGGCCTGCACCATTCCTCTTAAACTCCCTTTACACTACCGAGCAACAAAATTTATTTTAAAAAATTAGTTCCATTCTTTTGAAAATCTTGAAAATGACCCACGGGCTTTATGTTAAGTTCCCCTCGAAATTAAAATATCGATCGGTTTCGAATTCAAGGAGCCGTAACATCAACCATATCGAATAGGGACAATTTTGGAGAAAATCGGCTGAACGGTTCAGCCCCATCAGACGGGCAGACTTTTTGCCGTTGATCGAGTTTTCGTTATCGAGGACCCACAAATCACGGATTCTGGCTACACCACGAGTTCTTTTGAAACATTTATTAGCTACCTGTTCAAATGCAATTGCATTATAATTTTTCGTAGAGTTGAATACAATACTACATAATGTAGAGGCAAGATCCCAGCATTTAATTGACAGGTAAATAGTTACCGATAATGTAATAAACGTTCTATCATTAACTTTGATTATTTTATTGAAAACTAATTATGAAAATAGAAATAAAGCAAGATTTAATTTACGGAGAATGAAAAATATATTTTGGAAAAAGTGATCGATTTGGAGGATGAGGAACAGAGTTTTGACCTAGTGTAAGATTTTGAAATATGGGTGAAGTTGATAATTTGTTATGGAAATGTTTTGTGAAGTTAAGTATAGACGATTTGAAAGAATCGATTTTAAGTTCGCTGTGAATTTGTTTATTTGATATAAACCAGGGAGTTTGTAACATTTTGCGAAGGAATTTATTTTGAATTATTTGAAATTTGTTAAGATAGGATGTAGAGGTAATACACCAGATAGAGCAGGCATATGAAAGAGTGGGCCTAGTGATAGTTTCATATTAAAAATTTTCACAATTAATTCGTAATTTGGAGATTTTATTCATTAAAAGTTATAATTTTGATGGTTTTTGGTATTGTAATTTGGATTGAGATTTCCACGAAAGACTTTGGTCCAAAAATCTCCTAAATATTGAACAGGACTATCATTTTCAAGCTAAGGGACGGTATTGTTGTTAATAAGACGAGGAGGAGATTGTGAAGGGCGACATAGAATAACAATTTTTGCTTGAGTTTTCTGTGAATCAATATGTGGTTAGATGATTTTTTATTTATTTAGCAACAGGATTTATCTGCTTTTTCGTTGCCACGGCCTGGAAATAAGATGTTTTGTGTCGAAAACTCTCCGTTTTCCAGCAGCATTATTTAACTTTCTCTGTTCTGCGTAAACCGTAGCGAGGCGTAATGGCGAGAGTTGGGCGGCGAGAGATGTCGGCTGGGAAGAGGGTGAGGCAAAATCTAGCACAGAACAAAGAAATTAGAAAATTTCCGTAACTGATTCGAGAAAGTCTGTGCCATTCAATAGTACCACTAGTTTATATTGAGATTATTGTTCATAGGCTTTATTGACGATGGTGGAATTCCATGTATTGCCACATACAGAGCCAATATAAGTCAGTGTGTGGATGAACGGTTTCCTGCGCTATTAAAGCAACAATCTGATACACAAATAGTGAAAACTTTGGCGTCCATCACACAACGGGATGATCGATGCCGGTACGGATATTATTATTTCTTTATTGACATTTGCAATGTATTAAAATCCCGAATGTGATTATGAATGTTTTCGTTTACAGGAATTTGCATGAAGTAGAGAACTGTATAAATGAAGTACTGATGAAATGTATGCCACAAAGTTCTCTTGGAATTATAAGGCAATACTTTTCTTCTTTAGATGTGCTTTTCACATGTGCAAATTTATCAACCACATCCGAAGGTAAGATAATCCACTTTCAAAAGTAATATTATAATATTTTTAAAATTTAGTACACTTGCTACTCATTTAATGGAACCTACGTGTAGAATGTCAGTTTTATTTATTAAAATAATTGTGACTCACTGGGCCTGGTCCAGAGATTCTCAATCCCCTTTGTTCAATGACTCCTTTTAAAAGAATTGTTGGCTCCGTCGACCCCTTACATTATTCTGTATGATATATCATACATTATTTCAACACAAAGATTTGCACGTTTTCAATAAACAAAGACTCTTCCTCTTCTGAATAACTGAGATTCTAGCAGATCTTCATTGTTGTTCAGTTGTGACAAAATGCTGAGCAATTTTAACTGGCCATAACATTTCTCTAGTACAATTTTTCAGTGAGTTTTTTTAGATATAGAGCAACAGAACATGAAATAATAAATTAGAAATTAGCTTCTCTTCTCTGTTATAGAATATCATTGTGAATACATAGCCTTTTTTCGAAATATCCTTAGCTATTGCGTAGGTAGGTTCTGGGATGCCTTGGTGCAGGTAGTCAAAAAGTAACAGAAAGTAATTAAATATCAAGTTGATTTAATACTTTTTTGTAATCAATGGGTTCTTGATTATACCTATCAATCACCAGTTCGTACTCAGATGTATATATCCTTTTGACTCCTTGATCATCACTGACATCCTTCAAAATTTCTTCAACCTCAGAGGACTAATACCAATCTTGTTGGGAAACCCTGGCTTGGATCAAACAATTATGTATTATGGTAAGATTGAATATTATTTATTTACAATAAAGTAATTGTTTTTATTTGTTGTTGTTGTGGCTCTGACAGAACTTCAGCCCTCTGAATATGGACCACCAACCCTTGATAATATAGCAAGAATGCAAGAGGATAGCATTACAGTGCTAACCAAAATGAAGTCGTTTTTGGAGAATATTTTTGCAAATGAAAAACAGCAAAGAGAAGAAAAGACAACTAATGACCGTCGGTTTATTGCAATTCTCCAAGAACAAACAGAGCTTATAGCTAAAATTACTAATGTTATGGAAACACAGACTTCAAAAAGCAAGAGAAGAAAAGTCAAAGAAACTTCCTCCCTACATTAATATTTCTAAATGACGTATTCAATAATTAGTTGAGCTCAGGTGCTTAAATTTTTTTTGCATAGAATGGTTAGTGTTTATTGGGAATATGCTATAATAGCAAGTAGATACATTTATACATTCATTTAAAAAGAAATAAAAAGCAACTAACTATTAAATAATGAAGTTCAAAAATATCTTTGAAGTATCTTATTCTTGCCATTTAAAATTTTATCGTATAAGATCATTTTTCATAGAAGTTTATTTTCATAGAAAATGATAATCTCAGGCATTTATATTACTCTTATTTCCTTTGTTTTTTTATCAAAAAATAATTTATGAAAATTAAAAATTAAAATTTTTGGTATAATTGTTGAATGATTTCAAATATTTCTTAAATTTTACCCACTAAACGACAGTCCCTAATACTCTGTCATAAGATTGCTAGTATCGATTACTACCATATCCACATATCATATTTTTTTCTTGTTTTTATCCCAGAGTGTGATGTCAGGTCTTTTGTGCAGAACTGTTCGATCTGTCTGTACACCTAGTCTTGCTGCCGGAGTTCACCACTTTGGTACATACTGACATCCATTTATATATATATATATATATATATATATATATATATATATATATATATATATATATATATATATATATATATATATATATATATACTATGTGGACCAATCTCCATGAAAGTTGGCATGTCTACGTGATTTTTTTTCACGGAGAAGAATTTTATGTTATTCATTTTGGTGTAACTCCATTGAATGGCGCTGCAGCACAAGATGGCGCTTCATTTTAATTAAATTTCCATTCTAGCTGAGCTCCACCTGGGCTTCATTGTTGCTGGGTGTGCCGTGTGACGCAGGGCGAGGCCAAGGCCGAGGAGGACAGGACGGGCGAGACGGTCGGGAGGACAGAGTGGGCGTACGACAGAGGGAGAACGAGAGATGGACGGAGAGAGAGAGGGGCTTTGAGAGGCAGAGGCAGAAAGAGACAGACACAGAGAGCGAGAGAGGGAGACAGAGGGAGATAAAGGGGGAGAGAGGGAGTGTTACCCTTTAGACAAAGCTTTTGGATTGGTGGAATTGGGAAGAATGCCATTCCATTTAGCCCTTGACAAGCATTTCTAAGGATTTGATAACCGTTTACGACCGTTTGAAAATGCCCAATGAGAATGTAATTATTGGTATTCCATACATATTAATTGCTGCTATATGATTTGGTGAGCTGAGAAAGGTTTTGAATATACTGTACTTCTCATCCTCTTGGCAAATTCCGTTTGTATTGTCGCTTTAATGTTACTGTGCATGGTCAATTTGCTGTATCCCTAGGCTCATCTACTTCTAGGGTTGTTATAGTATATTTTTGACAGTTTTGTGTGTTTATTGCACCGATGAGTTTACCTTTATTGATGCTTTGGATTATACATTTTCCAAGACCAAATTTCATTCCTCTGTCGGTGGAGAATCTTTTGATGACGTGTATGAGTTGCTTTAGTCTCTGTAAGGTTCCTGAATACTGCTTAATATCATCTGTGTATGCTAGATGTCTCATTTTATTTTCCCGGGCATTTCAGTTTGTATCCAACTCCCATATTATCCAACAGAAAGGAGAGGGGATGTATGGCAAGACAAAGCCGATTAAGGCTAAGACTATCACCCTGAAAGATACCTCTGTGGATTATTAATATCTTGGCGATGATTCTTTCATAATTTGATGCATTGTTGTTTGTCAGTTATTCATTGTTTTTGGTTGGATATTGGTGTCTAGAAAATTAAAGTTTGTTCTGTTTACGCCTTTTGCGTGTCTGGTAGCTCCTTAAAATATAAAAAGAGAAATCCACCTCAAAAACTAATTTAAATGTAACTATTTAGGAAAAGCAGGGTAAAATAAGTGGTTACGATTGATAAAAATTACGATTGATTAAAAACTTTTACTTGACGAAAATTACAAATATGAATAGTTTCTAACTTATAGCGAGCGCTTTTAAATTCTAGCTTACAGATAATACAATAAGTTATGAACTTGCAATAAGTCACATAAATTTTAAATGATTTTGAATTAATTGAAGATTTGTAGTCAGTGCAAATGATGTGTAACTACTTATTATCGTTGCTTGTTTTGAAATTGAAAATGTTTGAATTGTTCGTTGCTTGACGTCACACTTGATGAACGTAATGAATACAGTACCTTTTTTCCCAAGTTGTCTATTCCAATTTAGCACAATACCTTCCTTGTTTGATGTTAGGACGATGGCTACGCTATTTTTAGATGCATGTTTCTACGTTTTTCTTGCACTGAAAGCTCGCGCACATAAGGAAGTGGGTTTCATGAACCCTGTGCGTCCGTGTGTGCATGACTCTGCCAGGAGCACACGGAGTAAAGAAGAATACCGCAGTATTACACAAGAGCAATTGCAGCGTCCAAACGACCGACCATGACAGAAAACGAGAGAGTGTGTGTTATGGAGTCCACACAAAGAGTATACAATTTTGCTCGAGCATCGCGGCTGTTCGCAGAAAATCCGCTTGACGTCAGGCCAGTATGACAGAGCCAGTATAAGACACAAAAATCGCACAATTAATATAAGTTCCCCCAACTCAAAATTGTTGCCCAGTCTAAGTTGGCAATATCGTCATTTATTAAACATTATGTCCCGGGGCCATGCTTCGCACAAGAATATCGCGTAGAGCCCTCAAGAATGGAATACTACGCTTGTTGACTAGTCCTGACAACGTGCGTTCTTTGGTTTAGAATGTTTTGTATGCTTCCAATTCTACAGTAACTATACGTTAGATGCATATATTCCCATCGTAAATGCAGTGGGGATGGTTCTGGAATGTTACACATGGAAATATTACGCTTTAAAGAAAAATAAAAACAATAATAAATAATACAGTGATTGAAACATTTATACAGGAATCCACTATTTTTGTTTTTATTTTATTTTATAATTCTGGATAAAGTATCATCTGATGCTTAAACGAAACGACAAAATATCTTTCGGGTATCACTTAATTATTAGAAACGTTTCTAAAGTAAATTAAAATAATTTTTTATTCTACAAATTTGTGCAAGTTAATTGCAGCGCGAAGACTAAAATTATGTTACAGATTGCAAACAGAGTTAAGTTTGTTTATAACGTGAGGTATGTCTTAGTGTATCAACTGATGTCATTATAGTGCCTCTGACCGGGAGGTCCCAGGTTCAAGTCTCGAGACAGTGGCAAGATTTTCGACTATGTCTTGTTAGTTACGTCAAATTCAGTCTCTGTATGGTTTCTCCGATCAACACCAGGCGAATGCCGGAGCAGTGCACTGCAGAAATGCTATTTATGACAAGGTTTTACTCTTCTTTAATATTCTTAAAGTAATATTTGCATTCTACTATTAGGAACTGAGCTTCGAGGAGTCCGAGGAAACTGTCTTCCAATATACACTACCTTCGCTCCTACGATGGCCTCTGATAAGGCTCCTTGGAAAACTGGATTTTTAGTTTGTAAAATGGAAAGGGGTCCTCTTTCTCATTGTTCATTATACAGTTCTGTTTTTAGATATGTCAGCGTTTATAATTATCCAATAGTAATAAAATGGTTACAGCACGAACAGAAAAACGCATTTGGCACGGAGGGTGATACATTCAGTTTAAATTAAAGAAACGTTAAGTACCACTATCTAAATCAATGATATGTATTTGTATGGCATCCGCACGGCAGTGCCACGATTCACCGCAACGTGCTGTGCCATCCCCTACGAGCAGGCGGGTCGCGGAACGTTCATAGTCGGAGCAGACGAGCGCCAGCATCGCTCCGCCTACAGCCCTAGAGGGCTTGTCGGTGAGCCTCTCGTCACGGCTGACCAGCTAGCCGCAACGCGTCTCCTCCTTCCCCTAGGAGGAGGCCGCAGCGCCCGTCCCTAAGGTGCGTCAAACTGGAACAGCCATGTAAGCACACCGGAATGAAACATGTCAAATTATTTATTGGAAATTAATTGCTATTTAATTGCCACAATCTGGAATTAATTGCTATGTACTTTCGAGGCGAATACGAGCGTGTGATGGGCACGAACACACACATATGTTAAATTCGGGTCACAGTTCTACGGAAACCCTAAGATACTTTATTGCTATTAATTGCTAATTAATTGTCACAATTTCGAATTACTTGCCACGTATCTTCATTGCGCAAATGGGCGTGATCTGGGCTCCAGCACACACATATGTTAAATTCGGGCCACACACTACGTGATCAAAAGTATCCAGGCACGTGGCTGAAAATGACTTACCACTTCGTGTTCGTGGCGCCCTCCATCGGTAATGCTGGAATTCAATAGGGATATGGCCCACCCTTAGCCTTTATGACAGTTTCTACACTCGCAGACTTACACGCAATCAAGTGCTGGAAGGCTTCTTGGGGAATGACAGCCAATTATCCACGGAGTGCTGCACTGAGGAGAGGTATCGATGTAGGTCGGTGAGGTCTGGCACGAAGACGACGTTCCAAAATATCCCAAAGTTGTTTAATAGGATAAAAGTCAGGACTCTGTGCAGGCCAGTCCGTTACAGAGATGTTATTGTCGTGAAACTACTCCTCCACACGCCGTGCAGTATGAACAGGTGCTCGACCGTGTTGATGCAATCGCCATCCCCGAATTGCTCTTCAACAGTAGGAAGCAAGAAGGTGTTTAAAGCATCAACGTAGGTCTGTGCCGTGATAGTGCCATACAAAACAACAAGGGGTGCAAGCTCCCTCTATGAAAACATGGTCACACCATTGCACCATTTTGGACGTGTCTGGGTACTTTTTATCACATAGTGTAGCTCAATGGAAACCCACAGATAATGTATTGCTACTTAATTGATAATTAATTGCCACAGTTTAGAATTAATTGCCACGTATCTACGTGGCGAAAACAGATGAGAACTGAGCGTCACCTCACACGTAGTTTAAATTTGGGTTGTAGCTCGACGGAAAGCATCAAATAATTTATATCAAAAATACGTGGCAATTGCAAATTGTGACAATTAATTAACAATTAATCATTTGAGGGTTTCCGTCGAGCTACAACTCTAATTTAAACGTATGTGCGTGCTGGCGCCCATCTCACACCCCTTTTCGCCACGACGATACGTGACACTTGTGACAATTAATTAGGAATAAAGTTTCTGAGGGCGTCTGTCGAGCTACAGCTCAAATTTGTATGTGAGGGCGTTGCGTCAAGCCAGCTCACACCCATTTTCGCCTCGAAAATACCATTAATTTCAAATTGTGGCAATTAATTAGCAAAAAAGCATTTGACGTGTTTCATGCTGGTGTGCTGACATGGATGTCCCAGCTTGACGCACCTCCGCCACTACGAAGTGGCTCTTTATAAGCAGGGCGCAGCGCGACAACGGACAGTCGCTTTTTGGAGTGGAGTTCAAGTTATCAAGTTACCTTTCAAGTCTTTAAGTATTCAAGTTACGTATTCTAGAGAATACGTCACGACGCTGCGCTACTGGATTCAAATTACAGCAACTGGAGGACTCTATGATTACACTGCTTTTTACATCTTCTGAAGGAGGAC